CTCTTGGGAATTGCCCTATCGAGAGTAATTCTGTTTTTCTTCAAAGCAAGAGCTCCTCAGAGATTGCTGAAGACCTTATAATTTATAATATCTTAGTTTGCTAACATCCCAAACCCTCCAAATTGGGTTATTGGAAGGTGCTTCTCATTCTTTTTATTTTTTTTATTAAAAATGGATTTCTATATTGAGATAAATTTTAAAATACAAGCAGCAAAACACGCACCACAAATAAAACAAGATCACTAACTAAAGGAAATAGAAAAGTCACTGATTACAATCCTTTGTGTATTACTATGGTTAAGGTTGTGGAACACTTAGAGAATAGGTAGGCAAACTAAGGCCCGGGGGCCGGATCCAGCCCAATTGCCTTCTAAATCCGGCCCGCAGATGGTCCAGGAATCAGCATGTTTTTACATGAGTAGAATGTGTCCTTTTATTTAAAATGCATCTCTGGGTTATTTGTGGGGCATAGAAATTCGTTCATTATTTTTAAAAAAATATATAGTCTGGCCCCCCACAAGGTCTGAGGGACAGTGGACCGGCCCCCTGCTGAAAAAGTTTGCTGACCCCTGACTTAGAGTAAAAGAACCTAAGGAAGAACTCACAAACTATTAAGGAAGTTTGGTGGTGTGCCATGTGGCCAAATCATATTCAGAAATAAACCAATGGGAAGGGTCATAGGTTAGTGGTAGGGCATCTCTGGAAAGGGCTGAACACCCCGGCTGAAGCCCTGGAGCATAGGAGTCAACTCCTAAGGGCTGAGGGGTCTTCGGCTCCCACAACAAAATATTTGATGGGCAAATGTGCCCCACAAAGTTGATGGGCATTGCCATTCAGATGCTGTGCGTGCACCGTGCCATGTGATTATGTGGGGCGGGCCTTACCTACCCACCCACCCACCCACCCACCCCCACCCCCGCATATCTTATTCAATTTGGGACTCCTGCCCTGGGGAGCCACTATTAAGTGAGTATAAAAAATACTGAGCTAGGTCTGACTCATTGCAGCTTGCTAGCATGTTTACTGATAAGATTGCCAACATATAGAATCTGAGCAAAGCCTGTGCCCAAACTCTGCTCCTGTTTTTCAACTTGGGTTCTCTGTGTGTAAAGCTTTGGTTCATTGATGAAGCTTAGGTTCAGGGAAGGAGGGAAGGGAGGAAGTCTTCACGTGCCGCCTTCATGTGAGGTCCACCACAGGGTGGCAACACAAGGATGGGCCTTTTCTGTAGTGGCTCCCTGTTTGTGGAATTGGCTCTCCAGGAATGTACACCTGGCTCCTCATTGTTAAAACCGTGTTTATGGAAGACAATCTTACTCGGCTACGAGTGATCGCCGAAGAAGATTGTTTCGGTTTAATTATCTAATTGTGTTTTATCTTTTATTTTATTCTGTGAACTGTCCTGGGATTGCTTGATGAAGGGAGGTATATAAACTTACCGGTAATAGATAAAATAAATAAATAATCTAGTCCAACCGCCTGCAGTGCAAGAAATTTCAGCTAAAAAGTCAATTAAAGCATCTTAAATATTTTATTCCTATCTGGTAACAGGGTTCATACTGTGCTACTATTTTAATATTGTGAATGAAATATAGTCTTTATTTTTGTGGGATTATTTGGGCAAAGGCTTGGTCTAAATCAGTGCTTCAGATCACTTTGGACACAATTGATTACTGCACGTTTAGCTCATTTTGCTTCAGGCTCCAGGAAGCAGAGAGTGGGGGCTTTAGAACTTGCTCCAAATTCCAAATTCCACCACAGAACCTGTTCCACGACACAATGCACCCATCTGATTACTCTTCTTCTTTTTATTTATTTGCAGTAAAGACACCATTATAACATTTTAAAACATTAATAATAAATAGCATAAATAAAAATGCACATTAATACAACTGAAAGCACACAATGACAATAATAGCTAGAGGAATCATAAGTGGTCTGATAACAATGGTCTTATTCAATAACATTGCCACTTGCCTTGTGAGTGACTTCTTGGAGTCCTGAAGCAAAGAGATTCATAAGAGTGGCCAGGGAGGGGTTGTGTAAAGGGGCATTTTGGAAGACAGAATCCACCTTTGTGTTGCTAGAAGAGAAGTATCCATTGTTCATTGGTGTTTTATTGTATCTGCCATCTAATAAATTGGAAGGGAGAACATTAAACCTTACCAGAGAGAAAACCCTGCTATATTTAGGGATTGTTAAGTATCCCAAGTATGGTATTGCATCTTTACAGGGGAGGCATGGTAACCCCAGTGACTGAGGGGAACAGGGTCCCCATGAAGGTCATTGAAGCTATGTCCAAAAAGCTCTGTTTAACCATTGATTTGGTGCCCTTTAGACATAGTAGGAGAATGATATACCTGTTGAGGTAACTTTTTTCACCACAATCTTCAACCAAGGTGATTAAAAATAACCAAACATTGCCTCAGAGTCCAATGAATTGGGGGTAAATACAAGTCAGCAGTGGAGCCAAAAATGGGTAGAATGAATTCACACAAAGCACAATCATTATATTCAGTCCCTGTCTAGCCAGAAAGAAAACAAAGGTTTTTAACAATGGAAATTATCTGTGTTTTCACCGTGGTAGAAGGAAGTAACCTGTCTCTTGGCTTTTAATAGCTAATGGCATTGGTTCTTAAGGGACACATTCCCAAGGGACACCTAATATTTAACAGGAGCATTCAAGGTTTCTGTAGTAGATACAAAGACTCACTCATTCTTCTCATATAGCCCATGACTATGACAACTGAACACCCATGTTAGGCAGAGGGAACAGCAACATGTTCCCACCTACAAATCCTGACACAACATTTGTGATGAGCCTTCAGCTGGATGGAGGAATGTATCAAAAATTACTGAGGTAAAGAAATGGAGCCTTGCTGCATCTCAGTTTTGGAATTATTTGTGGGGGGGATCTGTTTCTTGGAAAAACACCTGTTGAAAGTCTTGTGAGTCTACTCAAACTAGTAGTCGGCCCATGACAATGGCTAGGTTTAGCAGAGGGTGATAACCCAGTGTTTACCTTCCCTCACTTGTATCATTTGGAGGTCTGAGTACTTGGAAAACCACCAAGTACAACAGAGTCATGCTAACTACATCTTGTAAATCCAAAGAATTATGCAATTTCCAGTACTCAACAAATGAAGGGTCTACATATGGTTTATAAGATAACCTTGATGAAGCCCCTAATATCTACCTTATGTTTTCAGAGAAAGCTGCATCAGGTAAGTCTTTAAATATAAAGACTCAAATACTGCAAAGTGTATGGTTATAAAACCAGTTTATTATTTAACGGTGGGGGTTTTCTGAGATAGATGAGTGCCCCTGAACCCAGTAACAATACAGGTCATGCTGCCCTTTTATTCTTCAAAACATCTATTTTGGTTTGTGACTTGGACACAGACAATGAATGGAGAACCAGGGAAGCAGATTGCTTCAGATATTTGGATGTAGGAAGGGGTTGTGCAACCGGGTCAGCCAGAGACCTGGAAAAGAAGCAATTTGTATTGGACTTAAAGGAAGAAGAGAAAAGAAGTTCTAAGTTTCAGGGGTTGGCTGAAGAGACACTCAAATGAAAATGAAAGACAATGGAAGCAGCTTGGTTTTCTGCAACATTTCGAATGTGCATCCCTGATTTTTATTTAACAATCAAAATAAATAATTTGGTTCTCTGCCTTCATTTGGAGCCTACAAACCCTCTTATCTTGCAAATTGACACCACCTTAACTAACTACTAACTAACTAACTAACTAACTAACTAACTAACGAAGTAACCTCACTGGACCTTTTTTAAAAAATCTCTAAATCACATGGGCAATAGTTTTATTAGGTCAACTGAAATGTCACTAAATAGAGTGGAAGCTTCATTGGGCTTGATGGTACACAATGAAAGGGTTGTAGGGGGGAGTTGACTGTTCCACTAATCTGTATCTCAAAAGTGTTAAGACAGAACATGGGAGAAGAGTGTTAGTCACATCTCTCCTCCTTCTTCCTATGCTCCATCTTAAGGCCCTTATACAAGGTGTAGGCTCATGGCTTTGCCACCACCCAAAGTTTCTTCTCTCCCCAGCACCCTACCCCACAACTTTGCTTGACATCTAGTCCGATGAAGAATTCTGGGGAACATGAAGGCCTGCATGCTATTTTGTGATATTTTGGTTGGTCTAATAAAGGTATTGCACTAATATAGAATTTTGGAATAGATCTCACCCAAAAGTATCAATTAAATTGTTTAGTAATGTAAGATGGGATGACTTTCATTCAAGGTGCTTCACAGGTCTATGTTTGCTCCTTGTCTCAGGAAAGAGCGGAGAAGCTTTTGGGAGGGGGTCACCCATCTGCAAAAGAACAAAAGGTGGTGGTGCAGGGGGGGGTAGACTGGGAATAAAATTGTAGGTAGATGAGTGTATTTCTAGTTAATGTCACTTTTGCAGGTGTTCATTCATAAGTCTGTTCAGTCTTGATTCTGCATTAAACTGTACTTTAATAGCTACAATAAAATTCCCATTTAAAATAGTATTTTTGAATGGATTTTCTTGAAAAATACACATTTCTAAAATATATCCTTTATGAAAGGATGCCTTTCTAAATATACTTTATCCCAAGATTCACATTTTGTAGATATTGTGCATGTGTGTGTGTGTACACACACAAGAATCATTGCAAAATTAGGAGAAAGGCTGATGGACAGCTATTTAATTTCAATGAATTAAATGCCTCATTTCAGGTTCCAGCAGCCAAGTGACGATACTTCTATAAGACTGTGAACAATATTCACAATAAGGGTCAAGGGGTCAAGCTTAGATATGTTCAAGATTACACTAACCCAAGCCAAACTATTCTGAATACATTTACCATGTTTACTTTTTATAATCAACTGTGATCTGAAAGAGAAGTTGGAGGCATCACTTTTCCTCTGTCTTTCAGTGGTAACAGAGAGACAAGAAGGCAGACATAACCTCTATGTGGTTTAGAGTGATCATTCATCCATCTGATTCCAAATGGAGATGGACAATATGACTTCTGTCCAGGAATTCATTTTGCTGGGATTTGGAATTGGACAGCACAAACGGTTCCTGCTCCTCATTTTTTTCACTATTCTCTACATGCTCACTTTGGCAGAGAACATCACCATTATCACACTGGTGTTTCTAGACAACCACTTGGCTCAACTTCCCATGTATATTCTACTGAGCAACTTCTCCTGGCTAGAGATGTGCTACGTATCCACCACTGTGCCTCGCATGCTTTTTGACCTAGCTTCCCCTCATGGGGTCATTTCTTTCCATGAGTGCTTCCTCCAGTTCTACATTTTCTTTTCACTTGGTTGTACTGAATGCTTCTTTCTCTCAACCATGGCCTTGGACCGGTACTTGGCTATCTGCTGCCCACTACGCTACCCACACATAATGTCCCCACACTTCTGCTACACTCTGGTAGCTCTATGTTGGGTTGTTGGTTTCCTGTGGTACCTTGTCCCAGCAGTTTTGATCTCCCTGTTGTCCTTCTGTGGATCTAATACCATTGACCACTTCTTGTGTGATCCTGGACCAATTCTGGCCCTGGCATGCCCGCCACTCGGAAATGCTCCCCTCTTCAGCCAGATTTGCCTCAATGGTCTGATTATAGGCAATGTCTCCTTTGTTGTGCTGTCCTACAGCACTGTAATTCTCACCCTGATGAAAACCTCTAGCCAAGGTAATCGTAGGAAGGCCTTCTCCACCATATCATTCCACATTGTGGTGGTCACACTTTTCTACGGCTCAGTTGCAGGGATGTACTTGATTCCAGGTGGAGAAAGCCAATCAGAGGTCACCAAGGCAGTGACCCTCTTCTACACAGCCATCACACCCTTTCTCAATCCTTTGATCTACTGCTTGAGGAATGATCAGGTGAAAGAGGCAGTGGGCAGGTTGCTGAGGAGAAAGGTGAGGTCACTAGAGAGAAAGCAAAGAACTTAAAAAGTGGGGAGAGGAGGCAACAACAACAAAGCAAAGCACCCAAGTATGTACAGCTGATATGTACAGAGCTGGATAGAGAGAAGCAACTTTCTCTGCTGATGTGTTTTGCACAGCACATCAAGAAAGGTATGATAAGAAATCAGGAACGAGTTCATAGTTACCTGATGACCACATTCCCCGACAAGGCAGTTCAGTTCTTAGCTTTAAGAAGAAACCCAAAACCATTTGTTGGGATTTTTCACAATTTGTGTGATGGCCAGTTGCTAAATTATAATGAAATGAATCTCACCACCCTTGATAACATCAGAGTTGTGGAAGCCTATTCAGACCAAAGGCTGTATTGCCTTCTTGTCAAGCTTCCAGAGGAGCACATGGGAGTGGGCAGGGCCAGAGGTGAAAGCAGGCAGAGCACTGAATGCGAATTCTAGCTTTGTATTGTGGGTTAGTTTCCATACACATTCACACAACCTTCTCTGTTCTCCAGCTAAACAAGCAGGAGGCATCAGCTAAGTTCAAGGAAATATTCCATCAAGGGAAAAACACTTGGGGTGTGAAGCAGGGTTAGTGAGAGTGTGACTTGGGAAGAGGAGTGTGACTGAGGACCCCCCACCCTGCATTTGGAGTAAATTCTAATTATTTTCACTTTAATAACAAAAAAATATGTCATTGTAAAATGATGTTTTTTGGTACATATCTCCCAGGGGGGCTTATGGAAACAGTGAGGATGTTGGCATAAAGCAGACAGGGTCACTGATTTTCTTAACAGGTGCAACAGGAAGCACAGATAGACGCTTTGCATCATCCTAGTGAGCTGTTATTGGATGAGAAAACCTCTGTCAATTTCTAGTTCTTATCACTTATGTTTAGTCTTTATTTGTCTTTATTCCAAATCTGTGTACTGTAATTTGTGGTGGGTGGGTATTTTGCAGAGTCTCTTTTATTTGTATAAAGGGTAAAGTGATGCCACACTAAGAATAAGCCTGGTATTGATTGTCCCTTGAATAAATCATTTTTGTGGGTTAACTGTTCTGGAATGGCTATAAGCCTATATAGATACAGTGGTACCTTGGGTTACAGACACTTCAGGTTACAGATGCTTCAGGTTACAAACTCCGCTAACCCAGAAATAGTACCTCGAGTTAAGAACTTTGCTTCAGGATGAGAACAGAAATCGAGTGGCAGTGGCATGGTGGCAGCGGGAGGCCCCATTAGCTAAAGTGGTACCTCAGGTTAAGAACAGTTTCAGGTTAAGAACGGACCTCCAGAATGAATTAAGTTCTTAACCCGAGGTACCACTCTATAGACATACACACAAACATACACATATCCAAACTTAGGCCTTTCATTGTTGTGAAGTGATCCATCTGGCTGCAATATAAGCATGAACAGTTTAAAATTGTGTATATTGTGTAATATTTTGCAATTTTTCTTAATAAAAAATCATTTGAAACTGTGCTCATTGTATATTTATAGATTTGGATTACATTTTAAAATGTTTCTTTATTGTAAACAGCTTCAAGATCTGCAGACATTAAGTGATCATGAGGTGGACTGGACTAAATAAATAAATAAATAAATGTTACTAATTCATTAGATTTAATATCCATGTTAATGTAGCCAAGTACTCTTTTCTATTTGCTCTATATCTTTAGATGACCTCAATAAGTGCTTTCATACACTGTAGATGTTAAACAGCACAGAACATAAGAACTTAACTGGATCAGTCCAGGGGCCCATGTAGACTAGCATCCACGGACCAAGCAGATGCCTATGTGTAAACACACAAGCAATTCACCCCACCGGTGTCTTCCAGCAACACAACAATGTAGGGAGACTGTAGCCACAATGTCTAGCACCCATTCATAACATTATTATGATTATTAGTAGTATTTTAAATTTGTATACTGCCCCTCATCTCAGGCACACCAAATTGGGCACAACATGGGGGGGGGGGCAGGCATTCCACATACATGATGTCATATTTGTGATGTATCCTCCCGGTCCGGCCAGGCCTGCTGGGATAGACAGGTGTCCTTTTGAAGATCGCCGGAGTGCAAATCTCTACATAAGTTTTAATTTTAGTGCATGCATACAAACATTACATGTTATGCACCTTAAACTTTAACCTTTACCCCCTGCCCCCCACCCCACCTCTTGTTTTGGAGGGAGCTTTTATCCCCCACCCATCCACTAAATTTTATATACTTTTCCAATTAGCCAGATACCTTCCTTTTGTTCATTGGGGTGGGTGTGATTTGGTTACAAAACAATTGTCACAGCCCATCCCAAGTTCAGCACTTGAAGGAAACATATTCAGAGCAAGACTGAAGGTAGAGAATGTTTCGAGTTGTTCTAATTATCATTATATGCACTTTTTTATAATAATCAGGCAGGAGTAACAGAAAATGATGGGCTTTATTTAAACTAGCTGGCATTCTCTTTCTCTCCCTCCTGCTTGGTCTCTGTACTGTTTGTGCTGAGCCACTTGCTGGTAGCTGCTTCCTTAATCTGTGCTCTCCCTCTGGGGCACTAAGTTTCTGTCTTAACCTGGGGGACTTCCGGGTTGGCGCCATCGCCGAATGGCGGACTCCCTCCGAGCTCCGGAGGGAGCCTGCTCGGCAGGGGTCGGGTCCTGCCGCGCCGGCGACGCGAGGACCCTCAAAAACCATGGGCGCGGAAGCCCATGGACCTGGTGACTCGGCGGGCACCATTTGCGCCCCCCCAACCCGCGAAGGAGCCTTTTTAAAGGCTACGGAGCGGGGGATGGGGGTGGCGCGGTGCTGTGAGTCTTCTGCTTCCCCTGCCGAGCGAAGCCGCATGCCATTCGATGGAGAGCGCTGACTTCTTCTTTTGAAAATTTGGACTAAAAACAACAACCTGTGAGTAATTTGAAAATCGGACTTAAAAGGGGAAAAATTTTCTTGGATTCGGTACGAGCGGGGGAGGTGCAAAAAGGAAGTCCGTCTCCCCCTATTGTAAACAATTTAAAGCAAGGATTTGACAACTAAGGTCGAGAGAAGAGCCTGTTGTTTTTTTATTGATAAAAGTTATTAATTTCACGATGGGAAATCACAAGTAACTGTGCTGGAGGAGAAGAGTGGATTGTGAGAGTTAAAGTGCAACCCCCCGGGGAACCGGGAGTGATCCGTGAGAGAGCCTGGTGAAGAGATACAGAGATTTTGACAGCTGTCAAAGTAGCTGTCAAAGTTGGAGAATAAAAAGAGAACTTTGTTACGATGACTTTGCTGGTTAGATTTGTTACAATTTGGATATAAATTGTTGAAAACAAGGAACAACAAGTTAGCTTGACTTTTGGGTTTGATCTGGAAGGAAACTAAGTAACCATAATCCCTCTAGAGGGGGTTTTGGGACAATACAAGAATGGCTGTAAGTGGACTTTTTATCTCCTGGGAAAGTTGCAAAAACGAAACATTATTTTGTCTACAGAGGTTTCTACACTAAAGGAGACAATAGACATATCTATTGAAGAATGGAAGGGACTTGACGCAAGTTTTTGTTCTTGAACAAATAAAGCCTCTGTAGAGGAACTAGAAGTTTTTGAATTAGAATGTTTTTACAGTGGAACAGGAAAAGAAACCTGAGAAAAGTGAAGAAAGAGAACAAGGGATTTATGATGATCTGGAAGGGAATGAAGGAGGAGCCATATCATCGTAGAAGACCAAGGAAGGCCAAAGACCTGTCAGGGAGGATACAAAGGAAAACAAGAATTGGACTAAGCTGGAAGTTGGAGCATTTGGGACATTCAGACTTAAAAGGATTAAGAAACAAAAATCGAGTTTTACTCTTAAATATAGAGGTCTGGATGGAAGAAAAATGGACTTTCTTGAGATAGAGCTTCTCCAAGATTGGGTGTTTGAAACTAAAGATTACCAAAAAAACCGGCAAAGTGGAGCTGAGAGAGATTTGGCCATGGATGTGAGGTCCCCAGGCTGATAGCAGATAGACTGATGGACATAGGGGATCGAAACCGGGAAAGGGGGGAGGGAGTTCTGGAATCCAAAGGGTGTACAATTATATTCTGAATTTTCTTATTTCTTTATTTCGTTTTGTTGTGTGTATTAAAAAGGGGAATTTGTGGAAGGGAACTGGGGTCGACCTTAGGGGAAAAAAATTTTTAATGTTGAAAGACTGTGGAATATAAAGGGAAAGTGGTTATATAAGATGAACTAAATTGAACAATGGGCTAAATATAATAAGTTTAAAATTTGGGGTAAGAACTTGTGGAACTAATTTAATGGAAATGGAATACAAGAAGGGGAGGGGTGGGGAAGTCCTGGAAAGATGTTAATGAAAGTAAGGCTTTAAATGTAAATGTTTTTGTTTTTCCTTTTTCTTTTCTTTTTCATGTTTTGGATTTTTTGGAAATTTCAATAAATATGATTTTTTAAAAAAATAAGTTTCTGTCTTAACCCTCTTGCTTTGTGACACATTCAGGAAATACCATTTTTGAATATTCCCTTAAGTAAAACAAAGACAAAAACAAAACCATGCTAGTATAAACTGGCCAATGCATCATACTTCTAGCAGCAAGAATTTCAACAGAAATGTGTATCTGAAGAAGTGTGCATGCACACGAAAGCTCATACCAAGAACTAACTTAGTTGGTCTTTAAGGTGCTACTGGAAGGAATTTTTTTTGTTTTGATTACAGAAATGTGATACACCCATCTGCTATAATAAGTGCAACAGCCCATCCTACCACAATTTTTATTGGGGAAGGCTGGTGTTCTGCTTCTCCTTTTTTTTTCTTCCAAAATTTTTACACTATCGATATTCTCCAGGGCACCAACATTTCTCCATTCTCTTCAACAACCTCCCTGCTGCCTCTTTGATCTTATCATTCCTCAGACAGTAGATCAGTGGGTTGAGGACAGGTGTGACGGCAGCATAAAAGACTGTTGCTGCCTTTGTGACCTCTGAGTTGCTTTCTCCACCTGGAGCAGCTAAGTATACCCCTGCCACAGAACCATAAAAAATCGTCACCACCATTAGGTGGAAGAATATGGTGGAGAAAGCCTTCTTACGACTTCCTTGGCTAGAGGTTTTCATCAGAGAGAGAATCACTGCACCATAGGACAGGATGACACACAATAAGTTACCCAAAATCACAGCATTTACGAATATCTGATAGATGAAAGGAGCATTTCCTAGTGGAGGGCAGGCCAGAGACAGAAGTGGCCCAGGATCACACAACAAATGGTCAATGACGTTTGGTCCACAGAAGGACATCTTGGAGATCAAAGTCACTGGGACAATGTTCCACAGGAAGCCAAGGATCCAACAGGTAGCCATCAGGGCATAGCAGGCATTCTGGGACATAATTTGTGGGTAACGCAGTGGGTGGCATATGGCTAAATACCGATCCAAAGCCATGGCAGAGAGGAAGAAGTCCTCAGTGCAACCAAGAGAAAAAAAGATGTAGAACTGGAGGAAGCAAGCCTGGAAAGAGATCTTCCCATGAAGGGTTATTAGGTCAAAGAGCATGCGAGGTATAGTGGTGCTCACATAGCATATCTCCAGCCAGGAGAAGCTGCCCAGAAGGAGATACATGGGAAGTCGTGACAAGTGGGAGTCTAGAACGACCAAGGTGATAATGGTCATGTTCTCAGCCAAAGTCAGCACATAAAAAGCAGTCAAAAAAATGAGGAGCAGCAAATGCTTCTTTGGCCCACCTCCAAATCCTAGCAAAATGAATTCTGTGACATCAGTCCCATTGGCCATCTCCATCTGCAATCACAAAAGAGAAACACAGTCACATACCAAGAGCGAGTATCATCTCCCTGTCTGCCTGTAGACTCAGCAAGCTTATCATTTGTGGATGGTGTGTGCTAAGGCAATAAATCCTTAGGCTGAGAGGAAAACACTACTACAAATCATTGTCTCCCTCTCTGCTTTCATTGAAAAGCAAAGACTAACCAGGCATGCTGCTTTTAAGGAGGGCAGCAGAATATTCTGCCTCCTTCATTTTAGATTACATATACTTATTCTTGAGATTGCATATCAGTTATGAGGCATAACAAGTAATGGTGTTGCATCCATTTAATTTATATTTATTTATTGAGGGGAAATCATAGGCCACTTAATCAGAAGATTCTCTAAATTATGAAGATAATAAAGCAGTCAATAGCACATAGATAAAGACTTAAAGACAAATACCGTATACAGGTAGGTAGCTAAGTTATAGCTGAATTATACCTCTTAGGACCAAAATAAGTAAAGTTTCAGAAGAATATAGGAAGCTGCCTTATACCAAGTTGGGCTATTGCTCCTTTTTCCTCAGTATGGTCCACATTGATGGGCAGCAGCTTCTGAGGTTTCCAGTGAGGTGCCCCAGAGATACTCTGTATGCAAAGCAGTTAGTCTACCATTGAACTATGGCCCTTCCCAAGTATTCTAAACTTACCGTACCTATGACCGCTAAAATGTGCATCATCATATCATTATCAGAATGGTATGTGAGAACATGGAATATCTAAATGGCACTTCCCAGATTATGTTGGACTCCCCACTCCCATCAGCTCCAGCCAAGATAACCAATGGTCCAGGATCATGAGAGTTGTAGTCCATCATCATCTGAAGTGCATCCTGTTGACTACCTATGTTCTTATTTCTTTGAAACACCCTTTTAGTCCATAGGAGTGGACTTCCTTAAGCATCTATTGTCATCAACATAGCCATTTCTTTTTAAGTGTGTAGGAATCTAGTGCTAGTGTATTGTTTGTTTGTTTGTTTATGTATTATGTAATTTGTGTTCTTATTTTGTGGTGGTTTTTTTTGTGAACCATCCCGATTTAGTAAGAAATCAGGGGTGGACAAGTTTTAGCACTCTGTATGCTGTTGGATAACAACTCTGAGGATTTCATCTGAGAACCCTGTACTTGTTTCTCTCTCTCTCTCTCTCTCTCTCTCTCTCTCTCTCTCTCTCCTCCCTCCCTCCCTCCCTCTGAGACCCTCTTGCATTATGATGATGTTGTCGATGTTGTTGTTGTTGTTGCTGCTGCTGCTGTCATTGTTCTGTAAGCTTCTCTGGGATCTTTTTTAGATTATGAGTGTGGTAGAAATGTTATAAATAGATAAGGAAGTAAGTAAAGATCTTTCTCTCCTACTTTCCTCTTTGTCTCAGATGATGCTCCATATTGATGTGTCAACATTTCCTTGCCCATAATCTTTCTGAATAGGGCTACCCATTGAAATACATCCCCTCTGGTCTCTTACCACAGTCTCCTTTGCCTTGTTAAAGGTATCAATTTATATACCTCAGTAGCATGTAAGGAGTCAATCCCTCCAGCAGAAGGCTCATCACCTTGGCTGTGTCGGAGTTCACAGATTGTGAAAAGAAATATATAGTTGTTTCCTGTGTCTTTTAGAAAGAGATGGTAGACTTGTCTGTGGACTAACGCTTGAATGCTGGTGTTAAATATTCAGCAGCCCTTGGAGATGTGTCTCTAAGGAATGTTCTCATTATCCATTAAAACAAACTCTCTTTTGGGACGGAACATCTTCATTTGCTATAGTGAAACATGGGTAATTCCACAGGCAATTGTCTGTTATTTTGAGTTGAAGACACCCAACTGTTCAGGGTGGTAAAAACAAAAGGGGATTATGAGGAGCTCCAAAAGAGTCTTTCCCCACTGCATAAATGTGCATTAAATTGAGGAAGGGCAGAAATGTAACTCAGTGTAAATAAGAGTAAATTGATTCACATTGGGACCAAAAATCCTAACTTCACATACACACTAATTAGGTGTGAACTGGCATGGAAAGAGATGTTGGCTTAATAGTAGACAGCTTGGTGAAATTGTGGAGCCATGTGTGGCAGCTGTGAATTAATTTCATGTTAGGGATCTTCGGGAAAGGGGTTGAAAATAAAACTGTAAATTTCTTGAAGATTCGCAGTACCTAATCTTAAGTGGCGTAGAGAGTCTGCTCATTTACGTAATATTCTTTTGACCCTTCGGGTTCCATAGTTTAAAATGGAAGATGGTAGCGTTTGAGATTTTCTACAATCACTCCCTTAACAAACAACAACAACAGCCATGTACTAGAAGGCATAATCAACCTTTTTGAAGTCAGATTGGATGGTATAGAAAGAATGGAAGGCAAAACTGCTACCTCTTGATGCACCCATACTCCCAATAACTAAACATTTCTCATTCTGCAGAGCAAGTAGATCATGCTCATTCACCAGATTGGAATCAATAGGGTTTACAAATTAAATGATTTTTAAAAACAAAACAAAAAAACCCTTACAGCTCCAGAAGTTAACTTTCTATTGGGTGACATATCCTGCAGCTGGCTATAGATTTACCAGGTTATACACTTTCTAAAATAATCAAGTATATCAGCTCAGGCACCATGCAACCGAAATAGTTTTGAATAACTTGAAAGATCCAAGCCTCTAGGGAAGGACATTGTTTTTCAAATATTCAAAATTGGCAGAAAAATCCAAACAGAGATTTAGACCTCCATTCCAATTAAAATATAACATGATGGTGGCAACTGAATATGATAATGAACAAGACAGTTGCGTCAATTCTTTATTTTTCTAAGCTGCTGCCTTTTGTTCAGTTCAGCCCTCGACACAATAAAAAGACATTTTGGGGAACATATGAAGTCCAGTAACCCAGCACTGGAGGCCAAGATCTCCACAGCAGCCATTCTGTATATTATCCTTATATACTCAGATATGCTAGAACAGAGGAATTTAACAAAAATATATCACAGATTTATAAAGAATTATTCCTCAAGTAAGCATACAGATTGCATTCCATTTACATTTTATTGAGGGAATAAAAATAGTTGCAAATATCCCATTGAGAGCCAGTGTGGTGTAGTGGTTAAGAGCGGTAGTCTCGTAATCTGGGGAACCGGGTTCGCGTCTCCGCTCCTCCACATGCAGCTGCTGGGTGACCTTGGGCCAGTCACACTTCTTTGAAGTCTCTCAGCCCCACTCACCTCACAGAGTGTTTGTTGTGGGGGAGGAAGGGAAAGGAGAATGTTAGCCGCTTTGAGACTCCTTAAGGGGAGTGAAAGGTGGGATATCAAATCCAAACTCCTCCTCCTCCTCCTCCTCCTCCTCCTCCTCTTCTTCTTCTTCTTCTTCTTCTTCTTCTTCTTCTTCTGCTTTATCACAGCTGATTTAAGATGTATAAGGGTTACAGAATGTTAGATATGTCAATCCTTTCTTCTTCTTAGCTGCTCCCTGCTGTTCAGCTGAGGCGTCACCAGAATTATATAACACTTTGGGGAAAATATACAGCTTAGTAAACCAGCACTGGAGGCTAAGATAGAGAAGATCTCCACAGCCACCATATATTTTCCTCTTGTGCTCAGATAGGTGGGAACAAAGGACAGCCACACACTGCAAAATACCAGCATGCTGAAGGTGATGAACTTGGCTTCATTAAAACTGTCTGGTAACTTCCTAGCTAGGAAGGCTACAGTGAAGCTGACAATGGCCAGCAAGCCCATAAAGCCCAAGACACAGTAGAACATGGTGACTGAGCCTTCATTACATTGCAGAACAATTTTTTTAGTCACAGAGTGCATATCAAAATCTGGGAATGGGGAAGACGTTGCCAGCCATACACAACAAAGGGCGGCCTGAGTCAGGGAGCAGGAAAGAACAATGGAGGTGGCCTGTTGTTTCCCCACCCATTTCCTCATCCTGGAACCTGGTTTGGTGACCCTGAAAGCAAGGACCACAATGATTGTCTTGGCCAACACACAAGAAACTGCCACTGAAAAGATGATGCCAACTGCTGTTTGTCGAAGGAGACATGTCACTTTCTCAGGTCGACCGATGAATAGCAAAGCACAAAGGAAGGCAAGAAAGAGGGAGGTGAGGAGAGTATAGGTGAGGTTCTGGTTGTTGGCTCTAACTATGGGAGTGTCTCTGTGTTTAATAAAGACCCAAAGCACCAAAGCTGTGGTGAAAGAAAGGGAAAGAGCAAGAACTGCCAAAGAGATCCCCAAAGGTTCTCCGTAAGACAAGAAAATTATGTCCTTCGGCATGCATGAATCCCGTTCCATGTTTGGGTAATGATCTTGTGGGCACTGAAGGCATTCATCCATGTCTGAAAACAAACAACAAACAACATGATCAGGTTTCTATATGTTGCAGCAGAATTTGTGTTGTTGTGATGTAGTAATATGAAATATCAGACTTACAAATGTCAAACTTTCATTGGCTAGAAATAGATTGATCCCTAAGTAGATTAAATAATGTTTAAATAGATCCCTAAAAAGATTGTGTTGCACATTTATAGATGTGCAAAATTCAATATATAGTTATACTCCCATCCACATATGGGTCCAATCACTTTTTTTAAATATACAGCAGAGTTTTCCAAACTGTGTGTTGTGACACTTTAGTGTGTCAGCTGCAGTGTGTAGGTGTGTCAAGTGAATGCTCCACACACTCCTCCTGGGGTTGGAAATGAAGCAGGCAGTTGTGTCCCCATACATTTCATTATTAGAATTTATGTATGTGTCTCTATATCTTATAAGGGGTTAGTTTAATCTCCAGTTTGCTAGTAAAACTGAATTCCTGTGTCACAAAATGATGATGCATGTCTAAAGTGTGCCAACAATATGAAAAGCTTGAAAAGCTCTGATATAACAATATAAATTTATAATTCTTTCTTTTTTCTATTTTCCATGACTTCTCACCAGATCATTCTTTGGACATTGAACATGCTCAGTCCCTTTGTGTTTTTTCTTTAAAAGAAAAGGGTTTGTCAAAAAGAATTGTGTTCCAATTCTGCAATCATGCTTTTTTCCAAAATAAACATTATACCTCCTTCTTCTAAATGAGTGGTGGTTTGTTTTTCTCTCCTCCCTGTTTGGTGTACATAATGACCAGCTCTGAATGACTTGGGACTGCTATTGCTAAGTTTATCAGGCTGTATCCTCATATGAGGAACCATAAACTTTACTGAATTTTGAGGAATGTTCTCAATTTAAGGGAAATGAATGTCTGAATACCTGAATGACAGTACATTTGATAGGCTGTGTACATGATGTCTCTTACCCATCTGGTTGGAAAACTTCCCTTGTGGACACAGAATGCAATCATAGCAGCAAAATGGTTCCCCTTCCTTCTTTGCTTTATGGTAACCCAAAGGGCATTTATCATTACAAACAGAAAGGGGCTGCACCTGTCCATAAATGAAAGAAGAGAAGGTTTTCTCTTTTGCAAGCTTGTATATCAACATTGAGAACTGTGAATAACTCTGGAAGTAATAGATATGGTACAAAATATGAATGGACCTCACCTGGTTAAAACTGCTGGGCCACACGAAGGCTTCTTCCCAAATCCTCAACACTTCTCCTTGGGGAGCCATGGAGTCTATCTTTCCAACTTTGATTCTCTGAAAGGACTGATTTGGAAATGTGATCCAGTTTATAATATCAAATCCAGCCTCTAGCTCTCCATTTTCATTGAAGGAAACCTTTTCTCCAACAGTATTATTAAATACTATTCTCTTAACAAAGTGGTTAAGCTAAAGAAAGTGGGAATAAAGAAAAAAAAGTCAATGGATATGTCAAAGGCTGTGGATCATTCCCACTTTATTCCAAAACTCTTGAAAAACTTTATGCCTGATAATCGTAAATATAGAGAGTGGAAGATGTGCACATACCACCTTGAGGTAGTAATTAGTAAAGCAATCTTAACCTTGCAGGGCAGCAGCAGGATATGACAGGGAGGAACAGACACCACTGCATCCACAGCCATATCACTCACACCTGCTGTGGCGGAAGGCAGGGACAACAATACTCTACACCATGCTCGTCATCATGTCTTTTTGGAATTTACAGAGATTTTCAATTATTTTTATAATCATTTGAATCTGGTGAGACCTTGGGCTTCAGCAAATTCATGAAGGAAGCAGGAAATCTATTGCTAGTATTCAATGCTGCTTTATACATTCTCAGGAAACAGAGACATCATGCATCTGAAAACCAGGCCCTAGGGAAAAACAGTGGGAGAATACTATTGCTATCTGGTTGGCTGGTAAAGGAAGGCTCTGTACTGATCGAGCGGGATCCTTCCTTTGTTCTTGGTGTATTCGGGACATTACCTTCCATAATTCTTGATCCTGAAGCTTTACTCCTCCATCTACTTTCATTCTGCCTTTGTATCTAGATGAATGCATGGCCTGCAATGCATGTGCTATTGCAAAGGCAGCTGTGTAGACACTGTAGCTGTGGCCAGTCATGCTCATTTCAAAAACAGATGCAGGAAGAGTCTCCAACTTCTCCTCTCCACTGCAGATCTCTTCATTCTGTAGGTCTACCATAGCTCTGGGGAACAGACACCCAAATGCCTGCTCCCAGAAAACCCTAATGAAGCCATCTTCCTTCTCTGAAGTGGGGTTTCTCATCAGAAGAAATTTCTGGAATCCTAAAACTTCACTGGAGTGAACAGCAAAGGATATAGCACCATGTAGGAAGTCTATGTCCCAATCTCTTTGAAGAGGAATGGAAGTGAACTCCATCTCAGCTGTCATTATCCAGACTTTACCATTTCTCTTTGTTGATATATGCTCATATGCTGAAGCCTTAGAAAATATCCTCAGGATGAGCATGGTCTCTATTTCACCATGAATGACCAATGCAATGACAGTGCTCTTCATAATGATTTCAGTCTTCTCAATTACATCTCCCACCATATCATTAATAGTACTGGAAAAAGACACTTTGAGAAGTCTTACTATGAAATCAAAGCAGATACCTTTCTGGGCAAACATGGGGATAATATTCTGTTCAAACCTCTCTCCATTGTCATCGTGCCGAGAAATTACTCCAATCCATGTCCACTTGAAATATAGCAGTATGTGGAGAATTGTCTCATATTGAAGATTCAAATTTGGGAACGTTTGGAGATAGAAAGCAGCTTGGGTTTTCTTATCTATCACCACAGGAGAGCCATATATGATCTAATGGAAATTTAAAAAGTTAAGAAGTGAGGAGACCTGTAGTGGCCAGCAGGGTAGGACAAGTGTGCTCAGAGATTCCGTGATGTTCTGGAAAGGTGAGTAGCAGGGTAAAGCAGCAGTAAGATTTGTGCAGTGCAGATACACTGATGAAGTCAATATGTACAGGTGGTACATGACTCCAGTCAAGCTTGCAAAAATTTACCACTTGCCTGATAATAAATGCTGGAAATGTAAAGAGATTGAAGGTACATTCTTTCACCTTTGGTGGACATGCCCAAGGATTAAGGCTTTCTGGGAAATGTTATATAATGAAATGAAAAAGGTATTTAAATATACCTTTCTGAAGAAACCAGAGGCCTTTCTCCTGGGTATGGTCGGTCAATTGGTGTCAAAGAAGGATAGAACATTCTTTATGTATGCTACAACAGCAGCAAGAATACTCATCGCAAAGTATTGGAAGACAGAAGAGCTACCCACCGTGGAAGAATGGCAGATGAAGGTTATAGACTATATGGGACTCGCAGAAATGACCGGCAGAATCCGAGACCAGGGAAGAGAGACGGCGGAAGAAGATTGGATGAAGTTTAAGGACTATCTTAAGAAACATTGCAAAATTATTGAATGTTAGAACGATGTTGATTTAGAAATTAAGTGGTTTCTAGCTGTAATGATTATGTAATTAAGAAAAGAAAGGTTAAAAATTAAATAGAAATTAGGGGAGGGATTTGCTGAATTAAAAAATTAGAGATTGGAATACAGAAAAGGGAGGTATGAGGAGGTCGGGAAAGTAAGTTATAAGAAAATAAGGGAATGAAATTATACTTGTTTTGTTTGTGTTTTTGTTCGTAATACTGTTTTTCTTTTTGTATAATTTTTGAAAATTTAATAAATATCTTTTTTTTTAAAAAAAAAAAGATGAAGTCAATATGACACTCCCACCTGCCTCCCCACCTGAAACATTGCAATGACTCAAGTTCAGGGAGGTTAGGTGAGCACTCTGCTGATTGTTACTGGTTGTTACTTCAGCAGCCCACGGAGTGTGGACCTAGAGTTTAGCAAATACTTTAATATTTTCATTTTTTTATATTATCACTTACCATCCAGCTATTTAATATTTATTTTAATATATGCATGGCGGGTGAGTTCAGGTGGGAAGTAGTGCCAGGTCCCAATGAGAATTGAGAGCATCTTTGAATTGGAGTCTATGTCAGATGTCAAAACAGAAGTTGCAAATTTAAGCAGTGCCTTTTGCAAATGAGGGAAGAGTTTGCCCTGTGCTTTGTCCCTATCAGATGACAAAATTTCCCCCTATGCTCTCTTTGGGACATGGGTGGCACTGTGGTCTAAAGCACTGAGCCTAGGGCTGGCCGATCGGAAGGTCAGAGATTCGAATCTCTGCGACTGAGTGAGCTCCTGTTGCTCAGTCCCAGCGCCTGCCAATTTAGCAGTTCGAAAGCATGTCAAAGCAGCTTAGTCATGCTGGCCACATGACCCGGAAGAACTGTTTGTGCACAAATGTCGGCTCCCTCGGCCAGTAAAGCGAGATTAGCACCGCAACCCCAGAGTCGTTTGTGACTGGACTTAACTGTCAGGGGTCTTTTACCTTTTTTTTTTTAATGCTTTCTTTATGGAATTAGTTTTGCCATGATTTAAATCCTCTTCTATATTCTGAGCTCTTGAATGGTGCATATTAATGTACAACAAACTGTCTGAGGGGGAAAGAGTTTATTCTCCTTTTCTCTCCTCCTTAATTTAAATCCAGTACATCTAGCCTTTGGCTAAGAGGCTCTGACCCCTATTTTTATAACTGATTTCATCAATTTAAATGGAATTGTTCATCTTCTTAAGGATTTATTTGTTCTTGCATACAAATGCATCAAACGTCATAACTATGAGTCTCCTATTCCTATAATCTTCCTATAATCTTATATGGAGAAATGGGGTAGGAACAATGTACACAAACTGGCCAAGAAGGGGGAGAAACCTGAACACAGAGAGATCACTTCTGCACCAGTGATGGTGGAAGCAGTTAATGACAAAGAACAAAGTCCCCACGCCTCTTTATTTACAGAGTGGGGGGAAGCCTTTAATGCTGTTAAAAATAATCTACAAAAATAAGTCAGAAAACACACACAAAAAAATAGAAATAACTCCAAATGAAGCTACAGAACTGAGTGTGGGGGGAAATCTAATCTTTCTAAAATGTAAGAGGAGAATTTAAATTTAATATTCTGGGACACTACAGAAGATACAGCAGGAATTATTATTTTTTTAAAAAATAAATCTTACTAACATGATGGGCAAAAAAAAATGCTAGAAGTCCTCATAACAGTCAGACATAGAGATTGTTCGTTGCAAGCAAAAAATGCAGTATTTTCCCATCATATTATTATTATTTGTTTGAGAAATTTCTCATTAAGGACAAATTCATGAAAACAGGAGCCAATAGGTAATCAAACAGGAATGCTGCTGCTGCAAGAGAGAGAAAGGCAGGCCCTGAACTTTGCTACAGAGAAATTACAGACACCTCAAATACAATATTATTGGGGCTTAGGAAGAAGAAGAAGAAGAAGAAGAAGAAGAAGAAGAAGAAGAAGAAGAAGAAGAAGAAGAAGAAGAAGAAGAACCAACAAAAACTTGTGAAGTCACTCAGTGTTGTATGTTGGAAGTCACCCTCTTCTAAGAAATGTAAACCTCACATCTGGCAAATGAGAGAAGAGCCCAGAAACATCGATCCATTGCATTAAAATTCTTTCTCCTTATCTCTCATCAATTTAAATATTAGCTTTCTTAAATTCCAAAACCTAAAAAGTAAGTGTTCTTCCTCATTGCTCTTATTCAATTAGCAACTTTTGGTTGATAGGTTAGTTATAATAAAAAGTTATTTATATTGGAGTTAATACCTCATGCAATCCATAGAAATAATATGATTTACTTCCAATATGCCGAGGAAGTGTAGTTCATAATTTTTCATATATTATTCACTTTCTCCTCTTCAAGTTAGTGTTGTACCTTTGCAGGCTAAAAGACAATTCAATTGTCGTGTTACAGTATTCCAGGACTCTGCTTAAGGTCCTTTGCACATTGTTCATTGTTAATGTTCTCTTTTATTTTTTGCATGCTTGGAACCCTGACTGGGCACAACTTTACTGAAAGCAATATATTTACTGATCATCTGGATAATCCTTTTTTACTATATGTTGGGATTTGCTATTAATTTGATAGTGTTGCATGAAAGATCTCATTTTCAGTTATATATTTTATATGTCTGAGTTTTTCCATGGCAATACCTTAAAATGTTAAAGGTTTTGGCAATCAAATTGAATACATCTTAACTGTGGGATCTTATGTACACTGGTACCTTGGGTTCCAGACGCTTCAGGTTACAGACTCCGCTAACCCAGAAATAGTACCTCGGGTTAAGAACTTTGCTTCAGGATGAGAACAGAAATTGTGCTCCGGCAGCCCAGCAGCAGCAGGAGGCCCCATTAGCTAAGGTGGTGCTTCAGGTTAAGAACAGTTTCAGGTTAAGAATGAACCTCCAGAATGAATTAAGTACTTAACCCGAGGTACCACTGTACAAGCATACAGCATCTTGAATTAGATAAAGGTAAAGGTACCCCTGCCCGTATGGGCCAGTCGTGTCCTACTCTAGGGTTGTGCGCCCATCTCACTTAAGAGGCCATGGGCCAGCGCTGTCCGTAGACACTTCCGGGTCACGTGGCCAGTGTGATGAAGCTGCTCTGGCGAGCCAGCACCAGCGCAGCACACGGAAACGCCGTTTACCTTCCCGCTATAAAGTGGTACCTATTTATCTACTTGCACTTAAGAGTGCTTTCGAACTACTAGGTGGACAGGAGCTGGGACCGAAAGACGGGAGCTCACCCCACCGCGAGGATTCGAACCGCCGAATGTGGACAGTGATGTTGCACTCATGTCCTGCTTGTGGACTTCCTCAAGGTATTTTGTTGGCCTCTTTGAAAAAAGAATTCAGGGCTAGGTAGGTTCCTGGCCTGATTCAGTAGGACTTTTCATATAGTCTTACTTCTGGAAGCCTCACTTGCAAATACAACTGTTAAAAGGAAAACCTTTACAAGTAAACAGATGAGCAAATGGTTTGTTTATCTTTCCTACTGTCTGCATACCTGAGGGATTTTATAGATGCACAGGGTATCTGCCATGTAGAGACAGACTTCAGAGATAGGTCCCCCAATGACTGCTCCTAGATTGTTCTGACTATCACATTTGTAGTTGGGGGTGAATCTGTCCAGTGTAGAGAAAAGTTCCAATGATGCTTGATAGGTCCATCTTGTGTCAAAGTAGCTATTATAGATATGAAAGCCCAAGGTGACGTTAGGTAAAATCTGGGGATTTTCATTGATCTCTTTTAAAGCAAATATCAAGGCCAGGCTATGCTGATAGATCTGGGTCATCATCCTGTAATTAGAGTTACTTGCACTGTGAGAGTGGATTTTTTTCAGAATGTGACATATGCTTCTCTTCAGTTAAATGCATCATTACTGAATACATTATAGTATAATGGTTCTGATCTAGATAAGCATTATGAAATATTGTCACATGCATCTGTACTTTTATATTTTGTTTTCACCTGCACAATGCTGATACAGTATTCTGGGTCTGGATCTTTGAAATTTCCAGGTGTTGGAGGACTTTAATTACATAAACTGAAAAAAGTAACACAATTTTCTTGATTTCAATTGCTTTAGTTGACTATGACCTGTAGAGATGCTGTTCAAAATGGGATCAGATAGAAATCAAATGAAATGAAATACAACTTAGGAAACCAAGAAGCTGACATATTGTCTACATTGGCTGTCTGTGGATATCTGACGTTTCTATTAAAGAAACTTTCCCTGCCCTATCTCAAGATGCCAGGTATTGAAAAAGTGACCTCCTGTGTCCATGATGCTCTACCTTTGAATGAAAGCAATTTCCACTTATCAATACTTTCTCAGAAAATATGACCATATTAAAGGAACAATCCAGAGAAAGCAGTAAACATAGTTGCTCAAAAATAAAAAGGACCAAAATTTAAAAATTAATCCTCAACCCCAGTCACAGCTCTCTCACAGTTCCTTCACTACAACCTGGAAATTCTTAAATACTTAACGCTCCTAAGCAGAAAACAGTAGGGTCACCAAAATGCTGAAGGGTAATGTGGCATAGCTAGGACAGATATATGACATTATAAAGGAACCTTTTTAAAAAGAAAAACAGCAAAGCCTTACACAGTGCCTTCAAAGATGTCGTTAGAAGGCAGTTTTCTGAAATTGATTGGAATCGAAAATCTATATATCTGAGCTATAATGCTGGCAATGATGAAGTCTCCTGGTTGATAAAACTTGTGAAGAATAGGAAGAGAGTTGCTGACACTGCATTTGATGTCAGGCGTCTTGTATGCCACCAGAGGCAAAAAGAACAGTAGCTTCTGTGAAAGAATTCCTTCTCTACACCCATTCTGTTGCCTCCACATTATACCTAACTGGGTTCTGTGCTGAGTCCCACAGCCTGATTTGAATGGCCCCACACAGGATGGTGTGTGGCTCAGACTATGCCTTCTAAAATGTCCATGATCTGATTTACAAAGCCCTCAGACCAAATTGGATGGGGGATAGTTATTGAATCCTTGTATCTTGTAGTTTTCGTCTTGGTTACTACAGCTGCCTTGAGACCGGAAGAAGTAGTAGCATGTAATCACAATTAATTAGATAATTATAAGTGAGATAATCACCTATTCAGAATTACAATTTCTGTGAGACATTGCAGACATTTTGTCTCCCCGGATAGCAAGAGATATTGAGGCATCTACTGATTCACATAAAAAAGGCCTTCTGTATAATGAGATATTCATAAGAAAAGAGTACCACAGAAAAAGTTTGCATTTGTCTTAAAAGTGGACATGTTATTCATATATATATATATATATATATATATATATATATATATATATATTGCATAGTTAAGTTCTCTTGGGTGGCAAGAGATACCAAGGTTCCTGCTGACTAACATCAAGAATGAAGGGTTGCGTGGCAAGTCCCCTCCCCCATGTGAAATAAAGACACGGGACACATTATATAAGGTTAATGGGCATAAAAAGGCCACAACTTTATTGATTACAGAATTGAAAGGCATTGGCCTTAGGCATTGGCTCCTACCGACTACCCGGCATGGAGACCGGGAAGGGTTATCCACAAGCCGTGGGGGTCCTGTTGAAGTACGCCAACTAGGATCCCACGGGTGTCACCGCTTGGGGACGTGCCGGAGGCCCTTACCTCCCTAGGTTTCGGACAAGGCAACGCCCCCCGGAGTCCTCTACCGGACTACCCCTTTTCATTGGGGGAAGGTGATGGCGCTTCCTTCCCCCCATCATTTGCATAACAATTACCCCTACCAATGCCTAACCGCCAATCGAGCCAAGCTCGCCGCCAATACCTTCAAGCCTATAACCAATCCCTAATCCCTGCAATAATGTCCCCCAACCAAATATCATTTCCAGCATCTGACAGATGCACGCCATCACATCTGTAGAGGGCCTCGTTGCTGTACTGGATGCCTGGGTGCCCTATGACGCACCCGCCCAGAGCTGCCACTCTACGTTCCACAGCCCATTCCAAGACCTTTCTTGCCTTATTGATTCCAACCGGGCTCACACAATCCCTCCATGTCCTCCTCTCAAGCAACGAGGACCACAAGATAGTAATGTTCGGGTAAATCGCCATCAGATCAGCAAAATCGTCAAAAATGTTCCATCTCAAGTCAATAGCTTTGCGATACGCTAAGTCGTTTCCCCCCAACTGGACTACCAGGGCATCAGGTGGGCCCTCCAAGGCAGCTCTCGCCATCACGGCTGGCTTGAATTCGCTCCAGCGCATCCCTCTACGCGCTATCCACGCCAGCTCCACATTTGCAGGCAAGCTCAAATTTATACCCAAGCCGGTACTCATGGCACGATTCTTGGCCCAATGCACGATGCTGTGGCCCAACAGCCAAATGCGCACCCTCTTGTGTTCTGAAAAGCAAATAGGCAGAAAACAATGGTCAGGAGACCCAGCAGCTAGTCATAAATTCTTTCTCACATAAGCTTTGTATGCATTAGATTTCCACCGCCCTAAGTCCTTTATCCTGTCTGCTGAGAGCCCAAGATGCACTGCCGTGGTTGCTGCCCCTATCCGAAAGGAGTGAGCCACAAATTCCGCCGCGGGCAGTCCGCATGCTGTCAACGCCATGCGCATCACCCGCGTAAACTGATGCCTGGCCAAGAGCGATCCATCCGCATGAATAAATAGTGGGCCGGGGCTACTGGGTCTTAAGTAGAGGAAACGCCTCGTATCCCTAACCGGACAGGGACCACTAGCCTGTGCAGCTGGTAACCGAAGGAGGGCCCCTCTACCCTGTTGGTCCGTCTTAGAGCTCCTTACTTGAACCATTAGGTCAGACCCTGATAGGGTCAGATCACTTAAGAGGATGCCCTTTTGGCCGTGGGCAACCCCTCCTTCGCAGACTACCTCACCTATGCGCAGGGCACCAAAGAAGGCTACGGAATAAGCGGCAGAGAATAGGCGAGCTTCATATTTTGACCAGCATATTTCTCGTAACTTTTTGTGTATCTGGGTCAGAATATCATAAGTTATGGGCCTCCTCTTGTCAGAGCTGGGGGGCTGTAGCCGGCGCCAACCCTCTAAGGTCTTACGCACGATAAATTCTGCGCACGGGTCGGTGGCGAAAAAGGCTTTACAAAAATAGGAAATCCCCGCGGACTGAATATTGAGAGTCTTTGGCGCCCTGCCCAGCTCCTTCAGATGGGTTAAGTAGTGGAGGACCTCCCTCGTTGAGGGAATGGAATTCTGCCTTGCGCTGGGTATTCTGTTGCGGAACTTTAAAAAGTCAGCCCAAGCCTTCTTGTATGATCTCATTGTGGAAGGGGCAACTGCACCGAATACTCCCTTCATCACTTCCTGCTCCCAAGGCTCCAGAGATGCTCCGGGAAAGGCATTGATGATTGTTCCGCTTCCGGCACTAATGAGCGGAAGCGCTCCATCTGAAAACGAGACAGAGCATCCGCGATGTCATTATTAATGCCAGGTACGAATTTGGCTGAAAAATATATATTCTGCTCCAAACACAAGAGGACGAAGGACCGTAACAGGTTACCCACCCTGGTGGAGCGCACGGACTGTCTGGAAAGAACCGCTACTACTGCCTGGTTATCTGTGTTGAAACAAACCCTATGGTTGCGGAACTGCTCCGCCCAAAGATGTACTGCCACCACGATAGGGAAAAATTCCAAGAATGTAAGGTCCCGAGTGATGGGCTAGCCCTGCCAGTCTGCAGGCCACTTTTTGGCACACCACTGGCCCCTGAAATAAACCCCAAAACCCAAGGAACCTGCCGCATCTGACTGAACTTGGAAATCAGCATTGAGTGCCATGGAGTCTTGCCACAAGGATATACCGTTGTACTTGTCGAGGAATTGTAACCAAACTCCCAGATCCGCCTTAACTTCTTTGGAGAGGCACACCCTATGCTGAGGTGCCCTGAGACCTGCGGCCAATCTGGCCAGGCGGCCGCAAAAGGGGCGCCCCGGTGCCACTACCCTACAGGCGAAATTTAGGTGGCCTAGCAGGGATTGAATTTGCCTTAGGGTAACCTTCCTTAGGGGCAGCAGCTGTTGTATCAGTGCTTTAAGGGCGATCAATTTATTTTCGGGCAACCTAGAGGTCTGGGCAACGGTGTCTAACTCGATGCCCAAATAGACCATAGAGGTGGCTGGACCCTCTGTTTTTTCGGCGGCTAGCGGCACCCCCAGCTCACCGGCCAGGGCCGTGAAGGCCTCCAAGAGGGCGGAGCATCGCTGCCTGTTATCTGCCACCAAAATAAAATCATCCAGATAATGCGACACGCCCAACGACCCTGTCCTGAAGCGTAGGGCCCAGTCCAAAAACGTACTAAAAGACTCAAAGGCTGAGCAAGCCACGGAACAGCCCATAAGCATTGCTTTGTCAATGAAATACGCCCCCTCAAATCTAAAGCCCAACCAACGGAAATCAGCTGGATGGACGGGAAGAAGGCGGAACGCCGACTCAATGTCGCATTTGGCTAGAAGTGCCCCTTGCCCAAATCGACGAATCATTTTAACTGCTTGGTCAAAGGAGGCGTATTTCACTGTACAAAGTTCCTGGGGGATCGCATCATTGACCGAGCCTCCCCTTGGGTGGGAAAGGTTGTGGATCATGCAGAATTCCCCTGGGGTCTTCTTTGGTACAATGCCCAGAGGGGATAGGTGAAGTCCTTCAAAGGGAGGTTCGGTGAAGGGGCCCGCCACCCTGCCTGCCCTGATTTCTTTCTCTATCTTTTTTCTGACTATCTCAGGCCTTTCCTTAACTGACTTTTGATTTTGTGGGTCCCCGGTGTTAGGGGGGAAAGCCACGGGGATTCTGAACCCCTTGGAGAACCCCTCCCAAAGGTATTGTGCAGCTTTTCGATCAGGATACTGGTCCAGCAAGGTTTTGAGGGGCTGAAGTTTGATGGGAGAGGAGGCTAAACCCAGGTGCAGATTACTGGCGGTTACCAGGTCCCTGGTGGGTGGATCCGGGGGCATCCCTGTTATTGTTGTGGAAGAACCCCCGGCCCCCCCAAAAGGGCTGCTGTTTGTTCTTGAAGCAGGCAGAGGCGGGGTGGTTACCCCAGCACCGCTCACATTCATGCAGATACTTACAGGAGGGTCGCGAGCATACACCCCTGTTGTACGCCCAGCACTGGCGGCGCCGCTTCGCCTCTGTCTTACCCGCCTTGAAGGGTTCCTGATTTTTCTTTTCGATGTAGGGATTGACATCCTCGCCCCAGTAATTAGGATCCGTTAGATCCCAGCGGGTGGAAGGCAGGAGAGAAGCGTTTCTACGGAAATTCTCATCATACATTAAAGCGGCATTTTCTCCCGCAAGAGCATGTGCCCTCCTCACGTGCGCCAAATAAGCAACCAAATCCATGGAGCGCCGAGGATAAGCAGCGCAAACGACTTCCATGAAAACCTGGTACCCATCCAACCAGTTCTCAAACTGCCCTAGGCGTCCTATACCTCCGCTTACCAAAGGAGCGCCTCTTCTCACCTTTTCCTGTTAGCTTAGTCGGAGGGAGAAGGGTGAACATGTCTACATAGTCCCCATTGAGGATCTTATTCCTCTTCTTCTGGGACAAATGGTTCCCCAATATAAAATTGGTGGACTGATTGGTGGCAACTTTTACATCCTCCACTAGTGCCCCATCCTTCCAGTCCAGCACACCATTAAAGGTCTTACGATGGGAATTGGCCCTCCTTTCATGCGCCCAAAGTGGGATACCGTGATTCCCTTCCCCCAGACCCCAGTAGCTATCCATGGGGTCTGGGGGAAGGGAATCCGCTATCCGAATCCGAGGATGACGTACCTGAGTCGTCCTCAGTCTCAGACTGCTTACTTCTCTTCTTCTTCGAAGAAGTGTGTTTCTTCTTGGACTTTCTTTTTCCTCCTTGCGCCTCGACGTTGGCTGGGTTCACACTGGCGGCTGGCTGCGCACATTGGGGTTCCACGTGCTCCTCCTCCAAGGTGGAACCCGCGCTGTCGTCGGTAGAGCTGTGCTGGGGCTGCTGCTCCTGAAACACACTTGGAATATTTACAATCTGTGAAAGAGCATTGCCACTGGCACCTTCCCCTTGCCGGGACCTTTTGCAGGTGCCTTTCCTTTGCCATTGTTTTGGTTGGTTTTCCTAGCAATGGCCGCCTGGGCACGGGTATTAGGGAACCCTACACTCGCCGCGCCCGACTGGTTGCTGGTCCCTGCAACGACCGGGATGTCCTGCTGAACCTGACAGCTGGGAGGAGTATCGGGTATGACCTCCTGTGATGGTTCCGGGGCTGGAAGGGCCAAAGCCCCCTAGGCCTACACTGTCTTTTTACAAACGCCATAAAAAATTGGGCAAAGGCTTGAGGGTCGCATGGCATGGCTGGCATTTGAGCGCCCCCATTGCCTGTGGGAGGTGTCATTTGATTACCAGAGGTGGATGGTTGCTGGTCCCCACCGGAGGCCATTTCTCCCACAGAAGAATCAACAGTGTCCACTAAGAGTATTCGTTTAATAATCTGGCACTGCCCCCCTAAGTGGACAGTGTACTCCCCCCTAAAACAGTATTCCCTAAGCTGACTTAAGAGCCCCCCAAGCCACTACCAGCAATCAGCAACACCTAACGCTGTGCCCAGCTCAGAATTGTCGACGCGGACTTGACCCACCGTTGAATCTGGAAAGGGCTGGTTGCACCTAGCTCAGTATTATCAACCCAGACTTAGCTGTTCATCAATCTGTAAGAGCTGGCTTAGCTGTTCATCAATCTGTAAGAGCTGGCTGCCGAGTTCAGTATTATCTGCACTGGCTTAGCTTTAACTTAAATAGCAGCACCAATTCAATAACACCCTCACCGGTACAGCTGTAACTTAAATCAAAAGCTAGTTCAGTACCACTAGCCCTGTTAGGTAAAATAATTAGATTTTATTTATTTATTTATTTTTATTTATTTATTTATTTTGTGTGTGTGTGTGTGTGTGTGTGTGTGTGTATTACTATTGCTATTAATAGATTTTATAAATATATTGAATTTATCTCCAGTAAGTCCACGTTAACTTCCATACAATCAATTAGCTATGGCGAAACCCGAGTCCCAGCAAAGAAGACGTTTGTATTTGCAGAAGGCTATTGGCTCAATTACTTGAGTGAAGGAGAAGACTCAATTCACCACTGCCAAATAACCCCCTCTGTACCAGGCACTGGGCCCCAGCAGCAGAAAAGCAACTTGCAACAAACTCCCGCGTTCAGCACTTTTGCCCCCACCAGCCTAATAAAACCAAGAAATAAGGACAAAATCCAACCGCCTTCTGACTTGCTGCCAAAATCAATGCGCAACAGACCTGCTAAACTAAACCATGAAAAGAATATTCCTAAATACACCGTGACGCTATAATACACCTAGCTTGCCCAATCACCGCTTGCTTCCGCTGCTATCGCCGTTCAAAATTATGAGGCTTGTGTTTAAATATACTCCTGCTGGCGCGCGCCACACTCAAGATGGCCGCCTGGGCCTCTACACGTGGCCCTTCCCAAGATGGCGACCGCCAACAGCCTCTCTACTTCGCTTCAACAAAGATGGCCGCTCGCGCTGCAACCACGTTTGCCCACAAAGATGGTGCCGGTTCTCCGCCCTTAACAAAGCCCTTAATCAAAATGGTAGCTGCAGCTTCAGACCCGTGTTTTTAAAGGGCAGTTAAATCTCCTCCCACTAGCTGCTGCCTCTCCCAAAATGGCCGCCGGTGCAAGCCACGTGGTGCACTGACAAGATGGCGGGGCCACGTGACCCGGTAACCGTGGAAACAACCGACCGCGGCTTATCCACAAGCAAGGGTAATTAAGCTCAGAATAACCGCGCCACCCCGAAAATGCACGCTCCCCCGAGCTGCAGCCACACACAGAGCAAATGGGGGGGTTAGCCGACTAGCAACCCAACGGGAAGGAAGCGAGGGCTCAGCGCGGAGCCCGGCAGCGCGGAGGTGTAAATGAAGGTAAGACGGACAGCTGGCGGAGTAACAAGGTATAACTGCTAAAATAGGAGAGGCCCGGAGGAATCGCGTCTCGCCTGGAATACGTTACCAGCGTAAGGTTACCCTGCGCTGCGGAGCTCTAAGGACCGATCCCGCTGTGGTGCAGCAGCCCTTCGGCGCGTCCGATGTTGCTGCTTCCCTAGGTCCACTCTCGTTACTGTGCACTCATCCCGCAGCGATCAGACGAATTTCCGATCGCAACCCCCAGTTGCTTAGTGCCCACGCTGCTCGGGAGACCTCTCAATTTTCATCGCGCCAAAGGTCTCCCAGGTGATATCGGCTCCTTTCACTCCAACAAGGGTAACACGACGAATGAAAACAAAAGAAAAAACAGGCTCAAACGGTAGCCGTGCACCAAAGCAACAAAACAGCAAAGGAATTCCCGCACGGCAGAAGCTCGACGATCCGACGCTTAGAGAAAACCAGTCAGCTGGGATGGGGCAAAGAGGGCGGTCCCCGATCGTGCGTGGCCTTAAATGGGCTAGGCCACGCCTCCCCGGCCACGCCGATTGGTGGGCAGGGTTGCAGGCACGCCCGGGGATTCCCCTGTTCTCGCGGGGGCAAAAGGTCAGCCCCCGCGAGGGGAGTGTGGGAGGGGTTAGCCCGCAACCCCCTCTCCTCTCTAGCTCGGAAATGGCTTTTCTGTATAATAAGATATTCAGAAAAGAGCATCACAAGAGAAGTCTGCATTTGACAGACATTTTATGCATTAATGTCTGTTCATTCATTTATATTATTTTCTTTTTAGCTGTTTTCAGAAAGAACAGGCAACAGGTGTGCATCATAGTTCAGAACTGAGGAAGAAAATCTGAAAGCCCTGCTTTGACTTGCTATGGAACAGGCACCTAATATTTTACATGTTGTTGTTATTGTTAACGTTAAGTTACTGATTCTCATGGCTTAACTAGGGACATTTTTGGGGTGGGGGCCCTTCCACATAGTTGGTACATATAAGTACATGTGGTGGGACTGCTCAAAGGAGGCTGAATTTTGGAATAAGATATTCACTGAGAGCTCTTTGATGACCAAACAGTTACCCAATAATTTCACCTGGCACTTTTGTATCTGTATGTGGTAACAGAATGAGATGTCAAAAATAAAGAACACACTTATTATCCCTTAACAGCAGTCCGGGGCTCTATTGTCAAATCCTGGAAGACCTTTAATCTTAATCATTTGGATTGTTGATATTCAAGGGTTTGTCAAATTGCCTTTCTTGAACTAAAAGTATCTAAAAGGCAGAGTTTGACTTAGTGGGGAGCATGATTATATTTTTATACAAATACTGAAGCACATGGTCACTCAGTGCCATTAGTATATGCAAATGGCTGGTTCATTTAAGGCTATATAGAACATTTAGTCTTAAAAATAATAGAATTCACAATTGGAGAAAACTTTTATTTTTCTAAATCTTTATTATTTGAAAAGGAAATCTTTGTATGAATTAATTCTTTATCATCCCCTTGAAGCAATGTTGTATCTTTGTACTTTTTGTCCTTCCAGCCTGTGATGCATGATGGTTTACATATTGGATTATTTGTTTATTTTTTATTTTTTTGCTATGTTGCACTTTTTAAGTAACTAATCAATACAATTTTTGAAAAGCAAAAAATAGAATATGAGTTTTATCTCTTTGGGTGACTGGTTGGGTCTTCCACTTCATTTTCTTCTCCCAACATCTTCACACCATCAGTGTTCTCTAGTTCACCATCATTTCTTCATTCTCTTGAACAACTTCCTTGCTGCCTCTTTCATCTGATCATTCCTCAGACAGTAGACCAGGGGGTTAAGGAAAGGTGTGATGGCAGTGTAAAAGAGTGCTGCTGCCTTTCTGACTTGGCTTTCTGAGTGGCTTTCTCCACCTAGATCAGCTAAGTATACACCTGCTACAGAACCATAGAAAATAGTCACCACTACTAGGTGAAATGATACTGTGGAGAAAGCCTTCCTACAACTGCCTTGGTTAGCAGTTTTCATCAGAGTGAAAATCACAATGCTATAGGACAGCACGATGCAGGATAAGTTGATGAAAACCACCGTTTTCACAAAAATCTGATGGACGAAAGGAACATTTCCTAGTGGCGGGCAGGCCAGAGACAGAAGTGGCCCAGGATCACACAACAAATGGTCAATGACATTTGGTCCACAGAAGGACAACTTGGAGATCAAACTCACTGGTATAATAAACCACAGAAAGCCAACAATCCAACAAGCAGCCACAAGGGTATTGCAGGCACTTTGGGACATAATTTGTGGGTAACGTAGTGGGTGGCATATTGCCAAGTACCGATCAAAAGCCATAGTTGAGAGAAAGAAACCTTCCATTCCACCAAGAGAGAAAAAGATGTAGAACTGGAGAAAACAAGCCTGGAAGGAAATTTTCCCATGACGGGTCACCAGATCAAAGAGCATGCGGGGTACAGTGGTGGATACGTAGCACATCTCCAGCCAGGAGAAGTTGCTCAGAAAGAAATACATGGGAATTCGTGACAAGTGGGTGTCTAGAACCACCAGTGTGATAATGATTATGTTCTCAGCCAAGGTGACCACATAAAGAACAGTCAAAAAAAGGAGCAACGACAGATGTTTCTTTTGCCCTCCTGCAAATCCCAGCAAAATGAATTCTGTGACATCAGTTCCATTGGCCAACTCCATCTGGAATTACAGAACAAAAACACCTTTGATTTCAAGAGCAGGTATCATTTACCTGTTTGACTATAGGCTAAGCAGGTTTGCCCTATGGAATAATTCATTTTCCTCCCCCAATGTGTGTTTTGGATCCTAGTGTTGGGTTCAGACTTACAGTAAGTCAGGTTTATGCATGCAGAGTTATGTTCATAGGAAACGTCTTCAATTCACTGGTTATACTCTAAACAGAACAGAACCCATATATTATTACTCTTCAGAAATAGCCAGTTTCTGAATTCTTTATTACACGATAGAGTTATGTGCTTTAAATATGCATTGGATGTGTTTTAAAAGTGTGGTCTGCACCTTTTCTAAATGTGCTTAGGAGTCCAACTATGCATGTTCCTCTGCATTAAGTGGTGCTTACTTTGGAGCTGCAACGCTCGTAGTGAGACCTACTGAACTAAAGGGCTCATCCACACTTCTGCTGGTCCTGTGCCTAGAAAGCACAGGTCTGAGTGGTTTTGTGCTTGTCTCGTGCTTTTTGGGCATGAGTCCTAGCAGTTTTGCCTTTGCCCGGATTCTTTGCCCTTGGAAAACCCACTCTTTAGCACTAAATCAGAGCAAACGTCAATCCATAGAAATCCTGATTAACATTTGATCCCATTCAGTAGTAAACTGCTGGTTTTCCTGGGGGGAAATGGTAGACCAAGCAGAAGTGTGCATGAGTCCTACATAGGGCTTCCTTCTGAGTAGACCTTTCTAAGACTCCAACCTATTGGATTGGGTGCAGTTGGAGGGAAAAAATGAGTGGTAACCACTCTACACTCATTGTTTTGTTTTCTTTCAGATTCCCGCTCTGCAAAAAAGCAAACCTTCAGTGATTGCTCCTGGTTGCTTTTGTAGATGTCAGAAAACTGCTTTTTTTCTCTCTCTCTCCTGCCCCTCCACTTGCCTCTAAACCCCTTTTTGCCCCAACTGCTGCAACACTTTCTCCCCACCAGCTTCACCATGTAAAGAGCTCATCCATACCGTCATTTAATGTGAAAAGAAGAAGAGGAGGAGGAGGAGGAGGAGGAGGAGGAGTTTGGATTTGATATCCCGCTTTATCACTACCCTAAGGAGTCTCAAAGTGACTAACAATCTCATTTCCCTTCCTCCCCCACAACAAACACCCTGTGAGGTGAGTGAGGCTGAGAGACTTCAGAGACGTGTAACTAGTCCAAGATCACCCAGCAGCTGCATGTGGAGGAGCAGGGAATCGAACCCAGTTCACCAGATTACGAGTCCACTGCTCTTAACCACTACACCACACTGGCTCTCAATAGTACTCTTCCTGTACTTCCATTAATTTTCCATAGTCCATGTCACTCTATTCCAAATTGGTGCTTTCCCACACGCTTCCCCTCCCTCAAACCAGATTTTCTTATACCAGAATACTCCAAATATAAGAAGGTATGAGAAAATCTGGATTAAGGGAGGGGAAGGGTTTGGGAAGGCAGCAATGTAGATGAGGACATCATATGGACAATGGAGAATTAATGGACGTTCTTACTATCCATATTAAACAACAGTATGGATGAGCCAAGAGACATTCCTGTTTCTCCATCATATGATACGAAAACAACTACAAAGCTTTCTAAACCAGAATGAAGAAGCAGCAAATTCATGAAATATGAACAACTGTGAACTGGTATCAGAGGAAGATCCCTGGAACAGTGAGTGAAGATGTTTATTATAGCAAATCAGATTCTTACCTTCATGCGACCCCCGCCCACCAATTTTGGCACTGCACCCATGCAGACCCACCTCTCTTTCATTCTTACCTCAGTCTCCTTTGACTGATTCTTTGCCTCCATCGCATTCAAAACATTGAACCATCACCCTGAAGATATCTCATAAATGTTGTGCTTGTGTGCTCGCTGTCCTATGTGTCTTATAGTGGAACATGGAGAGAAGAAAAAGTGGGCCTGTTCACATATCACAGCTTTGATGCATCTGACACATATCTAATTGGTTCATGGGAATGAGTACCTCAATAACAATGTCATTAGTATCCGCTGAAACACTGATTGCCTCCCTCTGGCATACTGAAGCACTGGGGAACCTCTGCACATAATTGCTGTTTTTCTGGGCTCAGCTTCCTAAGCATGGACGTGTTGAAGCAAACCAAATGGATACAGTGTGTTATGGGAGAGGTTCCATGGTCATCCGGAATTGTGACAGAAGGGGCATTCTGATCCCAATCAAGTCCCATAGAAAGAAATTGTCACAAGGGACTGAGGGAAAGAGCCACCCTTCCTGGAGTCTCATGTGGATACAGACCCTTGGGTTCAACATCTTTCCTTTCCTTTTTGGGCGGCTGATGGTAGAGATAAATAAGCAATGGTTTTAAAAGGAGGGACAACTCAGTGGTAGGAAGGCTAGTCTTTATCTTTTCTTTTTCCCCTCCCCTTTGAAACATCTACATGTAAGAATGAACAAATCTACTGGGTCAATGATTTCATATATATATATATATATATATATATATATATATATATATATATCTGTTTTACAATTTCAAATAAACATTTTACAGACTTCCAAATGACTTCCCTTCTTCTCTTTCCATGGTTCATTTTACATATCTTACATCCCTGCACATTTTACTATAACCATTCAAATCAGTTTTCCAGTACAGTGGTACCTCGGGTTACATACGCTTCAAGTTACATATGCTTCAGGTTACAGACTCCGCTAACTCAGAAATAGTACCTCGGGTTAAGAACTTTGCTTCAGGATGAGAACAGAAATCATGCAGCGGCGGTGCAGTGGCAGCAGGAGGCCCCATTAGCTAAAGTGGTGCTTCAGGTTAAGAACAGTTTCAGGTTAAGAACAGACCTCCAGAACGAATTAAGTTCTTAACCCGAGGTACCACTGTATTATATCCCTCAAGAATTATTTAAATATTATAAAGATTGAATTTATCTTCATGCTTCCAGCGTTTTCAGCTATACACACTTATTTTCCATATACTCAATAAACTTTTTCCAATCTTCTTTAAACGTATATTCTTCTTGCTCTTTTATTCTATATGTTAAGTCTGCAAGTTGTGCATATTCTGTCAACGTAGTTTGCCAATCCTCTTTAGTTGAAACACCGCTCACTTTCCATTTTTGGGGCTAACAAAACATGAGCCGCAGATGTTGAATGCATCAATATTTCTGACAACTAGGACTTTCGGTCTGGGTTATCCTCAGCAGAAAGGACTCTGGGTTTAGGGGGAAAGTAGTATTAAACATTTTTTTTAGTTCATTATAAATCATTTCCCAATACTCTTTTACCATTTTACATGTGAAATAACATTCCCTCCACACCTTTACACTTCCAACACTTACTTGATTCTGTCTTGTAAATCTTAGCCAACCCACTTGGAGTTAAATAACATCTATGAATCATTTTCAAATAGTTCTCTTTCAAAGAATAACATGCTGTAAATTTCAAGTCACTTTTCCAAAGTTTCTCCCAGAGGTTAAGATCTATATTGTGTCCTTTATCTATTGCCCAGTGTGTCATTGAAGCTTTAACAAGTTCATTTTTGTTTCCCATTTTAATAAAAGATAATGTATTTTAGACAAAAGTTTATCTTTGTTTTACAAGAGTTCTGTTTTGAATTGTGAGCTATGGTCCAAAAAACAGTTCTTTCTGTCTAATTTAAACATATCATGTAACTGATGATATTGCAACCAGTCTGCAACTTGACTCCTTAGGTTTTTAATTAGTTTCAGTTTGGGTTCCAGCCCCACCCCACCCCCCCCTGGTAAAATCCAGCAATTCCCTGTAAGTCACTTATTGTCTATCCATATTAACTCTTTAATTGCAATTGCCTTGTTAGGAGAAAGCCATAAAGGTGATTTTCTTTCCAGCAGTTTTCATATTTCTCCCAAACTCTATACAGATTCTTCCTAAGAATGTGGTTCATAAAACTCTTATAGGGACTGGTAGTTTTGCTTTTAATCTGCTGCGTTTTCTAAATGTTGTTGACTGCTTTGAAGAGTCAAATAAAAAATGGGATATAGAAAGCTATGGAAGCCTTTTCCACTACCACCACTGCACTCTAAACATATTCAGTAAACATATTCTTTGATTTTTTTCTTCAGACATGGATGATTGTTTTCAATGTTCAGAAGATCAGTATCCAAACATTGGCCAGGATATATGTCTTCTAAAAATATTAACTTCCTGTCTTACAATGAACCTCTGGGAATCAGTTTAGTCCCTTTTGCTTTTCTATTGACTTTCACTACAGCTTTGGTGCTTAGGATCTTCATCAAGCACAAAGAAACTCCCATAGTCAAAGCCAACAATCGGACCCTCACCTATGTTCTCCTCTTAGCCCTCGTTCTCTCCTTCCTTTGTCCTTTGCTATTCATTGGCCAGCCCACAAAAATAACCTGTCTCCTTCGACAAACTGCTTTTGGAGTCATCTTCTCAGTAGCAGTGTCTTGCATCTTAGCAAAAACTTTTGTACAAATATTTTAAATTTTGAATTAAAAGCTAAAGGTTGCATTTCAGACTACTAAAGATATTGTTGTAAAATTCACCAGATTTTACAAGTGATTAAAAAAATCATGGAAGCTTAGTCCCGAGTAACTACTACGTGTAGGGTTGCAGTCATGCCACATAGCTGGTGTGAATCCAGGTCTGCTCATCCTGACTACAGCATACTACATTTTGGGATCTCCATTGGTTTCAAGGTCTTCTATTATGAACTTCTAACTTCTAACTTCACCAATACATCACTGGTCCCTTATTATCTAATGAAAGGAAATAAAAAATAACAGTCCAAAGACATTTCCTTCAGCAATTCCACAGGGAATCCCTAAAATTGAATACATACATTCCTCCTTGGTTATTAAAAGGGCTATAATTAAATCTGCTGCTCCTCAAAGATCCCTCTGGTTTTCACTGGCAACTGGCAACATAACACAAAGGATGCTGCAACTTAACCAGAATTACTTAAAAAGAGTCTGGGATACTCCCAGGATGCTGCAACTTAACCAGAATTACTTAAAAAGAGTCTGGGATACTCCCAGATTGCATCCTCTCAGGAAACTTAACTACCATTCAAATGAGACAATTTTTATATTGGAGAAGCTGATTATACTATTGCCAGAGAAATCATGGTTTCTGCATAGAACAAACAGTTGCCCTTGTATGAATGGTGGTTTTAGTCATCTTGCTGCTGAAACTGATTTCTTACAATGTACGTCAGGCTCACATAGTAAAATGCAGGCTCCAAGGTCCACACCGTCCACTTCACATATATCATCAGCCAGGAGAGTTCCTCATTGGTGGAATTGTTTTCCATGGTGGCTTCATCTCCTCTCCAGCAACATTCACTGAGGAACCCCCACCAGCACTGCCTGAAGAGCTTGTGTAAGAACTAAGCCACTCATTCATTACAGCAGAGGAATGATCAAACCTAGAGTTGCAGCCTCAGCATAATGGCTGAGGCTGCAAACTTCTACCCATTGACCTAGGGATATCCACTTTTTATTTCAGTGGGACATATGCTGATGTAAAAATACTTCAGAATGTCTTCTGAATTAAGAGAATACTCTAGAAGCTCCCATTTCTTGATAGGGGAATGAATATAAATGTATTGAAATGTATATATATTTATGTGTCTGAGATAGCCCCTTTGAACAGTTGATTTTGATAGACATTATCTGAACAGGAGTGTTAGTGAAAATGAATTAAAAAAACTTTACAGAAGCTGAATGCTCTTATTGCTTCATTTCCCGATCTTAGGCTAAAGCTTGTTTCACAATGATGGCATATAATTCTGTGAATTACAGCCACCATCTCTGCCTCATGAATGAGGAAGGGGTCATTGCAGTAGAGAGCTCAGACACTTTGTAAATCTCAGGAAAAGACTCCAGATGTTTCAGGGAAAGACCCCAAGGGTTCCAATGTTCCTATGGGCATCACATTAGTAATCCCTGGTCTAGATACCATTGGCCTTAACAGGCCTTAACTGAGACAAAACGAATTTCAGTAGGGACAAATGTCAGGTGCTGCACTTAGGCAGGAAATACCAGCTGCACAAATATAAGATGGGGAACCCATGGCTTCCCAGTAGTACATCTGAAAAGTCTGCATCAACAGAAGCATAGTGCGCAGAACACACCTGGTATATTGTGTTCAGTACAATTTAAGAAGGATACTGACATGCTACAAAATGTGCAGAAGAGGTTGACACATATGATCAAAGGTCTGGAAGCCAAACCTTATGAGGAAAAGTTGAGGGGGTTTGGTATGTTTAGTTATGAAAATAGGAGACTGAGGGATATTGGATAGCCATTTTCAAATATCTCAAGGGTTGTCACCAGGAAGATGGAGCAAGCTTGTTTTCTCTTGCTCCAGAGGGTAGGACGCGAACCAATGGAATCAAGTTGCAAGAAAGGAGATTCTGTGTAAACATGAGGAAGAACTTGCTGATAATAAGAACTGTTCAGCAGTGGAATGGACAGGGAGACAACTCCACTGAACTCAATAGGATTAACTATTGTAATTCAAATCTGTTCCTTCTGATACGGTTTGCAAATCTCATCCTAGGGTGGTGCCTAAGCTTTACCAGCACATCGTGGCCTTGGCATTTGCAGTCAAGGAGATCAATGAAGACCCTCAAATCTTACCCAATATCACCTTGGGTTTTCACTTATATGACAGCTATAACAATGCCAGGAGCACATATCTCGCCACACTGCTGCTTTTATCCAGGGTGGAGAAATTTATCCCAAACTATATATGTGATGTTGAAAATAATCTGGCTGGGGTCATTGGGGGACTTGATTCTGAAATCTCCTTTTATGTGGCAACAGTTTTGGATATCTATAAGATTCCACAGGTAAGACACCCATGTACGATACATCTCTAAGCTTGCATAGAGAATGAGGCTGAATTCACAGCACCAGTTCAGAGTGTGTCACTAGTTCAGGGCGAGGATGAAATTGGGGGCAGAACCATGTACACCACCCTCACCAGCCATTTTTGGATTTGCAGCATTTCCTGCTTAACGAGAAGGGTATCTGAATTGAGTTGCAGGAGAAGTGGGGGAATTCCTTATAGGATAAAAATTCACAAGTATTTCCAAGTACAATAATTATTTCTCTTCACGACACCATACCCAATATGTTAATGTTTAGGGGGAATGGGCTTTCAAATTAAACACACTCTGGAGGTATGGCAAATTGCAGATACAGTCCAGTTCTGCAGGAGAACAACAATAGTATTGAGCAGCTGGTTCCAAAGTGAAATAAATGTTCATAGATGAAATCTAAGAAGTCTTGAAAAAGAGGAGGCAGAAATGGCAGTTCTGCTGTTTGCTGGGGTATGTGCTTTGTGAAGACAAAAGAAGCTCCAGAGAAGAAATGTGCATCTGACCCAAGTGGCAGTTCTGATGTGGCTGCAGTAAATAATGTCTAACGCAGTGTTAAGCAATCCTTTGTTTAGGACATCATGTGTCCCTCTGTTCAGTTTAACCCTGCCAAATTGGGAATCATTTTTGAAAAAAGAATATAGTAGGGAACATGCTCCTCTCTGGTCAACAGAACAAAAGTTTAACAAGCAGGAATGGGAGATGACCTCAGTTTTCAGCCCATCTGCATGTGTGTCTTTTGTATAAATGAGAAAGGGCATGCAACCCCTGGTGGGTGGCAAAGGGCTTGTCTGACTAACAGGATTCATCACATGATGTATATGAATAGTTTGAAAGAACTCTACAAATATTACTTTGCCTCTTCTCTCCCTCCATTCCCTCTTTAGCTCATTTATGGCTCTGCTCCAGTGATGAATGATAAAAGCCCAGGGCTTCCCTTCTACCAGATGGCAGCCTCAGAAGCCCTTCAGTATGAGGGAATTCTCTCTTTGCTTCTGCATTTCAGGTGGACGTGGATTGGAGTCATTGCAATGGACAATGAAAATGGAGAAAGATTTGTGCAAACTATTTCCCCAATGTTTACCAAGAGTGGTGTCTGCTTTGCATTCATAGAAAGAATCCCCAATTTTAGTTTTATATCTGAAATGTATGGCTTGCTACAACAAGCGGCCAATATACAAGATCAAATTTTTAGCAGCAAAGCTAACGTAGTGGTTGCCTCTGGAGAATCTTTTTCCATGGCAACTTTTAGATGGCTTTCATACCTATCAGAACATGATGACATGACCAAGAATGTAAAAAGTAAAGTATGGATAACAACTGCCCAGGTTGAGTTTGCTTCATTTGTCTATCAAAGGTACTGGGGTTCAGAAATATTCAGTGGCGCTATAGCCTTTGAAATTCACTTTAGAAAGCCACCAGGATTTTATCAGTATGTTCTGCACAGAAACCCTTCCAGCACAGATGGGGACGGTTTTATCAGGAACTTCTGGCAACAGGCCTTTGAATGTGTATTCCCAGATATCACTGAAGACAGGGTGGAGGGGAATATTTGCACCGGAGAAGAGAAGCTGGAGAACCTTCCTGGGTCTCTTTTTGAAATGAGCATGACAGGCCACAGTTACAGCATCCACAGTGCTGTCTACGCCATGGCCCATGCCTTACATGCCATGTCCACATCCAGACTCAGACACAGAGGAATTGCATATGGAGGGAGAGGGAAGAATCCGAATCAAGAGTTTTGGCAGGTAAAGGCTGAACATCCTCAACTGTGAAAGCCCTGTTACTTCTTGGCACTGTATGGGTATCAGCTTGCTCTTTCCTCTCAGAGTTCAAACACTGTATGTGGAAGAAGAACCCAGAACTGAATTTATAATTCTGCAGACAGAGTAGGAGGTACACTGATATGATGGTATCCTAGATGATTTCCCCATATATTGTTCTGCTTGCAGATAGATGTAGAATCTATAGGGAAGGGAAATGATGGTTGTGTCCTTCTTTGGGCAGTTATTGCCCCATGTCTGAGGAGAAAGCATTTGTTATGGTGGAAGCTTTGCAACCCAATGAGATCCAATGCCATTCATAGACTGGAAGCAGTGGTAATGGTTGAAAGAGATGTTCAGCACTCCCTCTATCCCATATCAACCAAATCCTTACTTAGAGCTGGTGGTCACAAACCACTGCTGTGTCTTCTGAGATGCTCAGGGAGGGAGGGACGGAGAGAGAGAGAGAAAGATAGAGATCACTGCTTAAACATATTTAATTTGTGGACAATCAGAGAAAGAAGGATTGTAAGGAAGATTGAGAGAGATGCATGTGTGTGAAAGAAAATTGGTTGACTCTCTCCATGCTTGGGCCTGAATCCACTGACTATTGACTAAATCACCCCCACCATTTGCTGTAGGTTCTTCCCAGAGAAAAAAAATGCTCCTCCCTGCATTAGACTGCAGTCTTTTCTAAACCCCTTTCTTTTCTGCTTTCAATCTAGCTCCATCACTTTCTGAGAAGCATCTCATTTAACAATACAGCAGGAGATGTGGTCTTCATCAACCAGAATGGAGAGGCAGCATCAAGCTTGGATATTGTGAATTGGATCATATTCACCAACCAAAGTTTGCACCGAGTGAGAGTTGGGAGGATAGATCCACAAGCTCCTCCAGACCAATCATTACTCCTTGATGACGATGCCATCACATGGCACAGTTGGTTTAACCAGGTAGGGTTGCATTGTTTTCTAATTCAAAAGAGATTCAGTATTGAATAAGCAATCATTATTCACCTGCAGGTCTACTCACTGTTTTTTGAGCCACAAGTTGAGGAGTGGTGTATGACCAAAGCACTGAAGTATCAAATTAAGAGCCAAAATCATACTGCTAGAAGCCACACGTGGATTAAAAGCAAATATTTTATTAAGGAGGCTACAAAACAGAAGGACCCTTTTACTACAAAATACAGTTAAGCAAGGCTAACAGTGTAAATATGCCTTATAACAAAAACTAGATTATCTCACCCTAATCCCACCCATTCACAGACCCCACTACAAGTGCATCCATGCAAATGTGGTTTTTGCATCACACAATTTATCATCTGAATGTGGGTAATTAGGAACAGGTCAAATACCAGTTTTTCTTTGAAAGGGCGTTGATACAGAAGGACAGGTTTTCTTCCAGTAAAATGAAGCCTCTGGGTGCATTTCCCCAGCACAAGAGGGTATACATGCTCAGAGACCATTAAGCTACAAAGTGGATTTGGAACACTTCCCCAGGAAGCATCTGATGGATCCATGAACAGATGTACCTACTGGCACCAAAATCAGTTCTGGAGCTGTCTACCTAGTGGGCTACAAACTCAAATCAGCAATTATAACAAAATTAACAGGGTAACTTCAAAGTGTACCTAATGGAAAGAGCAATTTTTGCAGAACAGATGCACACCCCAGAGCAATATAGAGGGAACATCACATAATTTCAAACATTACTACTAATAATAAGAAAATAATAAACCATTACAGATTACTGAAAAGCTGTGTCAGCTTAGTAACACAGAGAAAGGACCGAGAACATAAAGGGTTCCAAATTCATTAGTGTCTTGATGAACCTTCTGCTGTTTCATTTATGGTTTAGATTCAGCCTCTTTCTGTCTGTACTGAGAGATGTATTCCAGGATCCAGCAAGAAAGTGAAGGAGGGACAGCCCCCTTGCTGCTACGATTGCATCCCATGTCCAGAGGGGAAGATTGCAAACCAGGATGGTAAGAGAAATAAATAGATTAGTACTTAGCATTGAAAAGTGCTGTAAAGATGACTGAGTTTGTTTCAAAAGAGATGATCTACTATGTGAAGAAGATGTTGTTGTTGTTGTTGTTTAGTCGTTTAGTCGTGTCCGACTCTTCGTGACCCCATGGACCAGAGCACACCAGGCACTTCTGTCTTCCACTGCCTCCCGCAGTTTGGTCAAACTCATGCTGGTAGCTTCGAGAACACTATCCAACCACGTGTGACGCGGCAGCTAAAAAAGTCAATGCAATTCTGGGCTGCATCAATAGGAGTATAGCATCTAGATCAAGGGAAGTAATAGTGCCACTGTATTCTGCTCTGGTCAGACCTCACCTGGAGTACTGTGTCCAGTTCTGGGCACCACAGTTCAAGAAGGACACTGACAAACTGGAACGTGTCCAGAGGAGGGCAACCAAAATGGTCAAAGGCCTGGAAACGATGCCTTATGAGGAACGGCTAAGGGAGCTGGGCATGTTTAGCCTGGAGAAGAGGAGGTTAAGGGGTGATATGATAGCCATGTTCAAATATATAAAAGGATGTCATATAGAGGAGGGAGAAAGGTTGTTTTCTGCTGCTCCAGAGAAGCGGACATGGAGCAATGGATCCAAACTACAAGAAAGAAGATTCCACCTAAACATTAGGAAGAACTTCCTGACAGTAAGAGCTGTTCGACAGTGGAATTTGCTGCCAAGGAGTGTGGTGGAGTCTCCTTCTTTGGAGGTCTTTAAGCAGAGGCTTGACAACCATATGTCAGGAGTGCTCTGATGGTGTTTCCTGCTTGGCAGGGGGTTGGACTCGATGGCCCTTGTGGTCTATTCCAACTCTATGATTCTATGAACCATCTCGCTCTCTGTTGTCCCCTTCTCCTTGTGCCCTCCATCTTTCCCAACATCAGGGTCTTTTCCAGGGAGTCTTCTTTTCTCATGAGGTAGTCAAAGTATTGGAGCCTCAGCTTCAGGATCTGTCCTTCCAGTGAGCACTCAGGGCTGATTTCCTTAAGAATGGATGGGTTTGTTCTTCTTGCAGTCCATGGGACTCTCAAGAGTCTCCTCCATCACCATAATTCAAAAGCATCAATTCTTCAGCGATCAGCCTTCTTTATGGTCCAGCTCTCACTTCCATACAACACTACTGGGAAAACCATAGCTTTTACTATAAGAAGAAGATAGATAAACTTTATTCGCATTAGCCACCAGCCATAGTAACATAAAACAAGCAATATATACAAATAAAAAGACAACAATGGGTAAAAAGGGCAATCAAATGACCAAGATTATCGTTCAGATAGTGGCCCTTAATCTCATTGCACCCTCAATAAACCTAGCAACCTTTGCTGTTGTCTGATCATTTTGATCTGATAAAAGAAAGAACGATGTGGCCGCAGATGGGCGGCCTGGGATGGTAAGTAAGAGTGGGGTGGTGATCTCATTCCTCAGATCTTTATAAAGGGGACAGGACAGGAGAACATGAGCCACTGTTTCCAGATTGCCATCTCCACAGGGGCAGAGTCATTTCTCAGTTGTTTGTGTGATCCTGCCTCTTTGTGATCATTGCCCTTCAGATAGTCTAAATATGTTAATCTAATGAGAATGACTCTGCATTGAGAGTAGCAAGGTGGTATGTGGTTCAAATCATATCTAGAAGGGGCTTTTCATTCCTCTTGACTTACACAGGCTACACCCAGGCTAGTGTAATGATATGTTCCAAAATCATGAGGAGGAATGGCCCTGGCTCTGCAATTTACAGACCAATAGCCCTGAACCGATTAAATGCAACAATACCACATTACAGAGCATCAGACAGTATTAAACATGTTTTAATTTGAGCAGAGCTCTTTTCTTCTCAGACAGAAGGTCAACATTTCAGGAAGCTGATGTGATATGAACTAAAGGTCATTTCCTTATTTTTTTCCAGATATGAATGACTGTCATAAATGCCCAGACAAAGAATATCCAAGCAAGAACCGGGAGGCATGTCTACCCAAGGATATCAGCTTCTTGTCTTATGAAGAACCTTTGGGCATCAGTTTAGCCTGTTTCTCTATTTCCCTTTCTTTGATCACAGCTCTGGTACTAGGTACATTTATAAAACACCATGACACGCCCATTGTCATTGCAAACAACCGAAACCTCACCTACGCTCTCCTCATCTCTCTCCTGCTCTGCTTCCTTTGTGCATTGCTCTTCATTGGCCGACCTGAGAAGGTCACGTGCCTCCTCCGACAAACAGCTTTTGGCATCATCTTCTCAACCGCTGTTTCTTGTGTCCTGGCAAAAACCTTCATGGTGGTTTTGGCCTTCATGGCTACAAAACCAGAATCCAGGATGAGGAAATGGGTGGGGAAAGGACTTGGCCACTCCATTCTTCTTTCCTGCTCCATAGTCCAAGCAGGCATATGTACTGTGTGGCTGACAACCTCTCCCCCATACCCAGATGTGGACATGCACTCTGTGATGGAAGAAATCATACTAGAATGTAATGAGGGGAGTGTGGCCATGTTTTACTGTGTCCTCATCTTCATGAGCTGCCTGGCAACTGTTAGTTTTGCTGTGGCTTTCCTCGCCAGGAAGTTACCAGACAGTTTCAACGAAGCCAAGTTTATCACTTTTAGCATGTTGGTCTTCTGCAGTGTTTGGCTGTCTTTTATTCCTTCCTACCTGAGCACCAAGGGAAAATATATGGTGGCTGTGGAGATCTTCTCCATCTTAGCCTCTGGCTTTGGGTTGCTGGGCTGCATCTTTTCCCCCAAATGTTACATAATCATTCTGAGGCCTGAGCTGAACAATAGAGAGCAGCTTATAAGGAAGAAAAAGTAAATAAATAATAACCTGTCCTTTGCTGTATCTTGTGCTTTTTTCTTTGTGTCCAGTTGAATATTTGCAAACACTTGTTCAGCAGCTGCCTTACATAATTTTTTCCTAGATTTTTTTCCTAGATTTTTTTCCTAGATGTTTTTTCTAGATTTTCCTTGTGGTGATTGATGTTAGGCAATCATAGATATTGACTATTGAATTCACTCTGGAAAAAAGAGTGAATAGGGCCATTTTCTGTGTTGGGGAACCAAGAAGCTGTCAGCTCCCAGGGAGCCTGACAAAGTTAAGGGACTTATGAGTAGAAGAACCATCATCCTGCCTCATTTTGGCATATATTGAATAATTCCTCAATGTTCAAAAAGCCACATTGTCTCCTGATTTTGAAGTGCATGTTAGAATGCTGAAGACAAATGTACAGAATTCAAGTGACACTGTCATAATGTCTATTTTGTCTCTTCCTTAATGTGGGTGAAGGATTCCAGTTATAGAGAAGTTCACCACATAAATATGATGTACACTCAAGAATTCATATTATTTCCATATGACAGTATCAATCCATTCCTTCACTGCAGAGAAATAAATATTAAATAAAAGCTCCACAACTTATGTTTGGATTGTATAAAAATTACTTTATCACTTACTAACAGATATATCCCATTTCCATATGTAATGATCACTGCATTTCATGTTATAGAAGAGCTAAAAACGAAGGGAAGGCATTTTGCTGCTATTATTGCTTTCCATGTCCAGAAGGAAAGATTCCAAACCAAAAAGGTAAGGAATATCATATGTAGATGTGTTCTATTTTACAGTTGCCACCTGTTTAATAAATGAGTGGCTCCCATCAGCGTTTTAAGTGCTTGAACTAATTGCTCTAACATTCACATATGCAAAGGGTTAATGGAAAGAACTGTAGAACTCTGGGATGTCATATATTCTGTGGCAGTTATGGCAGTTAGTTGAACAGTCTTAACAGTTAGAGCAGCAGGTTTGTTATGTTGTGCTGCTGTCTTCCTGAGAGTTAGTCAATCTGTAACAGTTTAATCTATGTAAAACATATTAGCAATTTAACTATCACCTACCTGCATTGAACATAATATTCTGCAACTGCAAGTATACGAAGTAAAAGTTATTCATTCTTTAAACTTTAAACAGAGAGTGTCTTGTGTACTTTTCATAAGAGGCAAAAGAGATCTAATAAAATGGGCAAACGATCCAGGGCTCTCTTCTACATACTTCACATGAGGTAACTTGGGTGGCTGAACAGAATATCAGATGAATCCAAAGAGGATAAGAATACCAGTGGGTTGCATCAGTTGGAAAAAAAGACTCTGCAAGCCCCAGCCCCAAACGCACAAATCAATAGACACAGAGGCCTCTGACACCTTCAGCTGCTAGCAGGATGGTTTTGATTTGTTTATATTTCTGGATTTGCTTGGAACCCATGAGAAAGCAGGCCCTTGATGCTATTGAGCCCAAATTATGCTCAATATGTAGAATTTCCTATTATTCTTACTGCAAAATTAACTTTTGATATTTCAAGTTCACTACCCTCATTCAGGAACAGAAAGACATACTTAAATATATTATATCTATTTTTCATATTTGATTTCAGACATGGATGATTGTTTTCAATGCTCAGAAGATCATTATCCAAACATTGACCAGGATGGATGCCTCCCAAAATACATAAGCTTCCTGACTTACAATGAGCCTCTGGGGATCATTTTAAGCACATTTGCAGTTTTTCTTTAATCACAACTTTGGGTCTTGGAATATTCATCAAGCACCAAGACACTCCCATAGTAAAAGCTAATAATCGGAACCTCACCTATGTTCTCCTGTCCTCTCTCCTCCTCTCCTTTCTTTGTGCTTTGCTATTCATTGGCAAACCAGATGAAGTGACATGTCTCCTACGACAAACTACTTTTGGTGCAATCTTCTCAGTGGCAGTTTCCTGTGTATTAGCCAAAACCATAATTGTAGTTCTAGTTTTCACAGATATCAAGCCAGGGTCTAGGATGAGGAGATGGGTGGGGAAACAACTGGCAACCTTTATCATTTTTTTCCAGCATCCTTGTTCAGACTGTTTTTATTACTGTGTGGCTGGCAACCTGCCCCCATTCCCAGATGTTGACATGCACTCAATCACTGAAGAAATTGTACTAGAATGCAATGAAGGGTCAAATACCATGTTTTACTCTCTTTTGCGCTTCATGGGTTTCCTGGCCATTGCCAGCTTAACTTTGGCTTTCCTAGCTAGGAAGTTGCCCGAAAGTTCTAGCTTTCATAGCTACCAAGCCAGGGTCCAGAATGAGGAGATGGGTGGCGTGAAATCTGGCCATCTCCATTGTTCTTTTCAGCTTCCTCATTCAAATGATGATTTGTAGTGCCTGGCTGATAGTTGTTCCCCCACTCCCTGATTTAGACAACCACTCAGTGACTAAAGAAATTGTACTGCAATGTCATGAAAGATCAGTCACCATGTTCTACTGTGTCCTAGGCTTCATGGGAATGCTAGCCATTGTCAGTTTCACTGTGGCTTTCCTAGCTAGGAAGTTACCAGACAGTTTTAATGAAGCCAAGTTCATCACCTTCAGCATGTTGGTCTTTTGCAGTGTGTGGCTGTCCTTTGTCCCTACCTACCTGAGTACCAAGGGGGAAGTACATGGCGGCTGTGGAGATCTTTTCTATTTTGGCCTCTAGTTTTTGGTTACTGGGCTGCATCTTTTCCCCCAGATGTTATATCATTTTGCTGAGGCCAGAGTTAAACAGCAGGGGACAGCTTATCATAAGAAAGAATTAAAGCTTGAACAAGTCTATTTGACAAAACTGTTCCCCAAATCCAATAGAGCAGCCCATGTAGCTCTTCTCCCTGGACTTTCCCCTGACAAAGTATTCTGATATCAACAAGGAACACAGACAGCTCTGTGGGCATGAACCATAGCAGAGCCATCCTTCCAAGTTCATTCTTCTCTGAATTTGATGTTCTTTCCCCCTCATACTAAAGTTTAAAAAGGAACACTTCTGTACAAATATTTTAAATTATGAATTAAAAGCTAAGGGTTGCATTTCAGACTACTAAAGATATTGTTGTAAAATTCATCATATTTTACAAGTGATTTAAAAACCATGGAAGCGTAGTTCCAAGTAACTACTATGTGTAGGGTTGCAGTCATGCCACATGGCTGGTGTGAATCCAGGTCTGCTCTTCCTGACTACACCATCCTACATTTTGGGATCTCCATTGGTTCCAAGGTCTTCTATTATGGACTTCTAACTTCACCAATACATCACTGGTCCCTTATTATCTAATGAAAGGAAATTAAAAATCACAGTCCTGAATATGTGACAAACACATTTCCTTCAGCAGTTCCACAGGGAATCCCTAGCACTGAATACCTACATTCCTCCTTGGTTATTAACAGAGCTATAATTAAATCTGCTGCTCCTCAAAAAAAATCCCTCTGTATTTTCACTGGCAACTGGCAACATAACACAAAGGATAGTGCAACATAACCAGAATTACTTAAATAGAGTCTGGGATACTCCCAGATTGCATCCTCTTAGGAAACTCAAATGAGACATTTTTTATCTTGGAGAAGCTGATTACACTATTGCCAGAGAAATCATGGTTTCTGTGTAGAAGAAACAGTTGCCCTTGCATGGATGGTGGTTTTAGTGGTCTTGCTGCTGAAACTGATTTCTTACAATGCATGTCAGGCTCACATAGGAAAATGCAGGCTTCAAAGTCCACACTGTCCACTTCAAACGTACCATCAGCCAGGAGAGTTCCTCATTGGTGGTATTGTTCTCCATGGTGGCTTCATCTCCTCTGCAGCAACATTCACTGAGGAACCCCCACCAGCGCCGCCTGAAGATCTTGTGTAAGAACTAAGCCACTCATTCATTACAGCAGAGGAACGATCAAACCTAGAGTTGTGACCTCAGCATAATGAATGCAAACTTCTACCCATTCTAGGATAACCACTTTTGATTTCAGTGGGACATATGCTGATGTAAAAATACGTTGGAATGTCTTCTGAATTAAGAGAATACTCTATAAGTTCCCATTTCTCAATAGGGAAATGAATATAAATGTATTGAAATGTGTATATATATATATTCGCCCTTTGAACAACCGATTTTGATAGACTTTATCTGAGCAGGAGTGTTAGTGAGAATGAATTAAAAAATTTTTTTACAGAAACTGATTGCTCTTATTGTTTCATTTCCTGATCTTAGGTAAAGTTTGTTTCACAATGACAGCATATACAGTGGTACTTTGGGTTAAGTACTTAATTCGTTCTGGAGTTCCGTTCTTAACCTGAAACTGTTCTTAAACTGAAGCACCACTTTAGCTAATGGGGCATCTTGCTGCCGCCGCACCGCCAGAGCATGATTTCTGTTCTCATCTTGAAGCAAAATTCTTAACCCGAGGTACTATTTCTGGGTTAGCGGAGTCTGTGACCTGAAGCGTATGTAACCTGAAGCTTATGTAACCTGAGGTACCACTGTAATATGAAGTATAGAATCGTGTGAATTACAGCCACCATCTCTGCATCATGAATAAGGAAGGGGTCGTTGCAGGAGAAAGCTCAGACATTTTGTAAATGTCAGGAAAAGACTTCAGATGTTTCAGGGAAAGACCCCAGGGGTTCCAATGTTCCTATGGGCACCAAATTAGCAACCCCTGGTCTAGATACCATTGGTCTTAACAGGCCTTAACTGAGGCAAAACTAACAAAATGAATTTCAGTAGGGACAAATGTCAGGTTCTGCACTTAGGCAGGAAAAACCAGCTGTACAAATATAAGATGGGGAACACCTGGTTTGCCAGTGCTATGTGTGAAAAGTCTGCATCAACAGAAGCATAGTACCCCAGTAAAAAAACACACACAGAAGAGCTCTCTTCTGCGCTGCACAGAACACACCTGGTATATTGTGTTCAGTTGTGTTCAGCACAATTTCAGAAGGATACTGACAAGCTACAACATGTGCAGA